TTTACAGTCAAACTAAGTGAAGCGTACCCCTCAGGATTACATTAATGATTTGATTATTTGAATATTGAACCCGCTAATCGTTTCAGGGGCGCAATAACGAATTGAATATTTGAACATGGAACCCGCTAACCGTTTCAAGAATGCAATAATGGATTGATTATTTGAATATTGAAACCGATAGCCGTATTCGTTTTGAAGAGGCGCGGATCATTGTTCAAACCAGAAGTCCATTTCTGATTGGATTATGCGAACACGTGATGATAGATCGGAACTATTTAAACATGGCGTCAGACATGGCAGGAAAGGTGAGTGCGAGTGTTGTGTAGAACTTTCTGTAAATGTTGTAAATGGAATGTGATCGAGAGCTTTCTTCGCCTATGTACATCTTGACGAACTTGTAGAAATTCTTGAGTGTATTCATGGTGAAAAAAAATAGTTTACGGGCGAAGCCATCGCAAGACTTTTTTTATTTCGTTAATATTTGCGATCAACTGTTTTCGCAGTGTTTTTACAGTGCAGTTTGTTCATTTTCAGGATTCCTCGTCAAATAGAACAATCTTATTGGACTTCAGAAATGGAATTCTAATTTGAACAATGATCCGCGCCTTTTTAAAACGGATACGGCTATCGGGTTCAATATTCAAATAATCAATCCATTATTGCATTCGTGAAACGGCAAGCGGGTTCAATAATCAAATAATCGATTCAATATTGCATTCTTGAAACGACTGGCGGGTTCAATATCCAATTGATCAACTCATTAATGTAATCTTGAGGGGTACGCTTCACTTAGTTTGACTGTAATATACTGCCAATTTTGTCACTTGTATTAAAATGATTGCATTATCACATTTCGTACAAATCATCACACGATGTCTCGGCCAACTCAAGAGATCTTTTGTTTTCTCTTTAGGTTAAAATGAACGAGGCAACACAGTGAAGTCCAAATCGTCGAGGTAAGTTTTGGGCACGTACGCATACAGTACTTGAATTCTTAACATAAAAGGGAGTTTTTGCTTGCTGTCACTCCCTTTATCAATTCCTAGATGCACCTCGAAAACGTACACCTAAGATCTATGGAGATTTTCATTTGGAAAATTAGGGTTTTTAGACGGAAATATTTCATACAAAACCAAGAACTCTTCATCGCTAATAAGATTAGCGTCGTAGTAAAGAACGAGGAGGTGGCGGAATTCTTCAAACGTAACCATACTATTACAAAAAAGCCTCAATTTATAAAGCGAAACTCGACGAACTTCGAAGAAGTCGCAAAAGCCGGCCGTCATCAGAATCTTAACAACTTCAATTATGGCGCGAAAACGGTAACTTCTGACCCAGTTTACCTGGGTTGTCACGTCGCCGTCGCCCCGAAAACGTCTGTATCTTAAGCTCCCTATTGACGGGCGGGATGACGGCAGATTTCTTGCTGAAAGGCTTGTTGACTGACGGACTGACCGTATGACTGTATTTGTAAAACATTTCTGAACGGAATCATATGTTTCCATAAATTTGTTTTTAAGTAGCCATTAGAGCGTTTATCAAATGATATCAAGGAGGTGGTATTTAGGAAGTAGGTTTTGTTTGTAGTTTTCAAACATCAGACCACAACTCGCTCTGAGGGGTCCACATTGACATTTGTGCAACACAGTTTCCTCACACAGCTATCCATCTTGACGAAGGTCTCAACATGATAGCTGCCATACCTTTGGCACCTACACGGCTGCCCCTCTTCATCTCGCTCTTCTTCCTCTTCCTCTTCCTCATCTTCTAAACATGGAAGATACAACGGGGTCATATCCTCCTCGTCATAGACCAGTTCTGCTCCGCATTCCAGGGCAGCCAAAAGATTTGAGTTGATGTCGCTTGAGCAACGACCAGAAATCAACCTACTTGTGGTCGCTTTATTCTTGATTGTTTTGACGGGTGCTTTAGGATAATTTACAATTGGTCGGCTGGTCACCTTGGAAGCTGATCCCATCGGGCGATTTCGTGATGGACGAGGGGTATTCTTGAGTTGCAGGCCTTGTGGGCTTTTTACGCCTGATTGCCCGAATTTTACGGGTTTGGCTGTCTCTGTGCTTTTCAATTCAGATTTTGAGTTGTCTTTGAGAGAAACGGGGTGTTTCTTGACAGAGCATTCCTCTCGAGATGCCAAATCGAGCGACACTCCTTGTTTGCCGTTTTTCTCTTTCTTGGTGCGTTTCTTATCAACGACATCCGAAGTCTTCAATAAAGAATCAATGTCGTAAACTTGACCCACAATTATTAAAGTATCTTTGAAGAATTCCCTGAGCGAGGGTCTCCATTTAACGAGCTCTTCAATGTCTCGCAATGCGTTAGCTTGGGATAAAATCTGCTCTTTAGCCGTGCCGAACGAAGGATCGGAATAAAACACTTGGTTTCCAACTGAATACCAACCATTACTTGTCAAGAAAGCTTCCACTGACTTCTTTTTGCAACCAAAGGTTGTTGAATGATCTCTTCTTGAGAACTTCTCCTTATCGGTAGTGTACTTAAAAAACACAGCAGCCATAGCTTGCTCCAAAAATTACACGATCAAACACGAAACGATTCTTGTGTGAGTTGTCCTATCGAATTCCCACATAAAAACAATGCTGTCAACACTTCACTCTGTAATATTTGGCTTGTCAATTTCGTAATTTCGTTGTAATTAGTGATGAGGTTAAGTTTTTCCTACGCTTCTTTGCTCCAGTTCACATCTACACGCCGTAGTAATCTACTGAAAACTTTTAAATCCAAACAATCCTTTTGTAACCTGCCTCACCTCAAAAGTCAAACAGCCAATTGGCTTTTAGTTATACATGTATGTAATTTCATCTTAAACATAACAGAACCTGTTTTCTTTAGAAAAGGAAACAAACGATAATTAAAACTTTTCTTTTTTCTCAGACCACTTTATTAATAAATAATAAGTTGAATTTCTTCTCCATCGAAGCGGTAAAGCCGCTAGTACTCAAACAATGCACGTTCTACGTTTCCAGTTTCAATGCATCAATTCCTGTGCTCTGACTGAAAATATTTTTTTTTTGATAAATGTTAGTCTCAACCTTTGGGTGTTCTTGACGTTTACTAAAGTTAATTGATTTACCTTCGATTCCTATCTTCCATTGTCGCCAGTTGTAGACAATTTCTTACAAAAAAATCTGAACAAAATGTCGGACAATTTGTGGAGTGACGAATTTGTAATTGTACATGTTTCATTTTCTTTGTCACAATAAGCTACTTATTTTCGTAAACAATTAATATCTGGTTCTCATTTCCAATTTCGGTTTTGAGTTTACTGGTTGTTAATGACAGGTATATCGAGTCCCTATACAATTTTGGTTCACGGAAACAATCCACCCTTATTCAAATTGGCAGGCGAAGAAAAATTATGAATAACTTTCTAACATTGTTTTCTTGCACTGTACCTTAAGTTACCAGACCTCGTTTTCCCGCCGCGATTTATGGCCAGCACGCTTCGTGTCATGCGTGTGTCGAAGGTGACGCAAGACTGCATTGTTGTCGCTTAACTCCTTTGATTGGTTCTCTAAATTCGCGCCACGTTTGGTAGCAATTCAAACCTAATAGATCAAGATCAAACCTAATAGTCACTCGCATTTTCCCGCTGTTTAAATTCTGGTTTTCACTCTGGGTTCTCATTGGCTCTTTGTGATACTTTTCACGGCTCTGATTGGCCTTTCTGATTGCTTTGGTTGGGTTTTATGAGACTTTTTCGAAAATCGCGCAACATGACCGTGGGTACGATCTTCTTTCTCCTATAAGCAAATTGAGATCTTTGGTTCTTTGCTTCGTGCCTCTGCACATCGTAATATGCGCCCCGATTTGCTTTTGTTTTGTTTTGTTTTTTTGACAGACTGAGGTGCATGTAAATAAAACCTTATTCCCATTAGTTGGGCCCAAGCTCTACAAGGGTTTCGAATAACACACACTCAAGTTTCACTCTTATGCGCATGTCAGGCTGAATCAGTATAAAGAAAACGTGACAATTAAAGAGTTAATTTTATTTGAACTTCTAAACTACGCCAAGGTGCTGGGTTGGTCTTTCGCTCCTTTACCCTTATGGAGCAAGGTGCAGATAAAGAACATAAACCCGCCCAAAGTTTCCCGTCATGGCGACTAGGTTTTTTCGTGCTGTCTGGGCTGATTGTAGGGCTAATCGTGTGTGTATTGTTTCTGTTTGTCTCCTCAATCTCGATGGAAAGGCGAATGGCGTCAGTTGAGAACGAGCTGCAAGAAATTTCTAAAAAACGTGAGGAGCACAATCGGCCCGAAAATGAGACGAAAGGATCTCTCAGCTCAGCAAGGTAAAGAAGAAATGCCGCTGACCCAGCAGCCAGTTTGTCAGACCTTACTAAGAGACTTGTTACACTAGAGAGCAGGTATAGTGACTAGATGACGAGTGCAGATTGTTACTTGAATAATACAGATTCACTATTCTAAATATACATAGCTTTATTAAATTCATTTAAGACTTGGAAGTGCTACTGTAACCATAAAGCAGGCACGTTTGATTCGTTATTAGACGTTAGAGAATCCTTGTAGCAAAAATGAACAGAAATAGACTTGTTGGGAGTTCACAAGAGAGTCACGAGTTTATGGAACAGTCACGAGGTCTGTAGGTGACGTCTTTGGGGCGCTTTGCACTCAATACAATTATGATTTATTTTGGTAGAATCACTCCTTCGCTGTGAAAACGGAAAAAGTATCGGATACCTGTCTGCCGAATAATTTGCATATAAAACGCAAAAATAAACGTTATGTACACGCAGCAGCATCGTGTGAATCCAAACACATTACGAAGAAATATACAAATCATGTGTTCTCTAGGTAGCTGAGCACTCAGAAATGGCGAAAAAAATATCTGGTGTTAGTGTAGGTGATCCGAACAAACCATCGTGAGAAAGAATGAAACAAAGATTTTCTTCTCCTCCTGTGCAGAACTGTTAAACTTTCCAATGACTTGCGTCTGAACTCCTCCCTCCGAGGTCAGTAGAATAAACTGAAAGCGTTTTTTTATTATTATCTCTATTCCATTATTTCTTTATTCATCATAAAAATTCCAATTTCCTTGATTCTGATTGGTTTTAAAAACTCCTATTTTTCATTAATTCACTTGCCAAGATGTTATCGGACAGTTTGTTATCAAAGAGTTCAGTAAGCCAATCACATTCAAAGTTCAGTGTAGTTAGAATGATCCAGTCACATTCAAAGTTGTGGTTGAAATCAATCAATCACAAACATGGTTTCTATTAATGCAAATTTTCCCTTTCTTTCTTAACTTGACTATACTTTTTTTTTCTCGGAAATTGTAATTTTTATGATTAATTGGTAATAAGACTTAATTTAGTCCAATTCGCTCTGTAATCATACTTGTGATAAACAAATCGGATTTTGTTATCACTCGTATTATTACGGACCGAACTGGACCCCACTCAGTCCTATTGCCATTACTTAAAACGTCCTTTTATATTGATCGAGTGATCTTTTTCGTCGGCTTTTCTTCAGAGTTGCACACATGACTTTGCGGTAAAAATTGTGACGGAATGCTAACTTTTATGAACAGAATTTTAATTATTCTATGTTACAATTTAATCAGTGTACTGATCTGTTCCAATCTTGTTCAGGTCGAGATGGAAGAGATGGTACGCCAGGCCTCTCTGGACCCGTTGGTAAGCTGAGTGAAATGATAAAATGATGCATTGGAATAAATGCAATTTCTTTTACCTTACAGGATAAGTGTGCTCATTTAATCACGTTTTTAGTGTTGTAATTAAAAACTATTCAAGAAATAATGGCCCGAGCTGTGTTTTAGATTCCAAAGTTAACCACCATTTCACTGGTTCTATTTAGATATGCTGAAAATTTGATTCTTGCCCCTCAACATAGCCGCTGAGGTGTGACTTCAAAAAGTTTCTCTCCTCTTGTCTCCATTATCAGGAGACCATGCTGTCTTGTCATAACGCAGGAACGCTAATGAAGCTAATATCAATTCACTCTTGGTTTAAATCTTCATGTAAAAGTCAGTCCTGAGTCACTTCACGATAATATTATTCAGAAATTAAAATTTATGCTTTACCCCATTTTTAAAACCACCACTTCTTAAAAATAGTGCTGCATGTCCTGAAGCTTGCTTTACTGGGCCTCACGACAATCACAAACTCAAGGTTGGAGTTAATTGGCTATGAACAAAGGCCCATGCATAGTCGCTTTAATTTCCAACTTAACTTAAACTTACACTGGAAAACTTTTTTCTTTTGAAAATCGAAGAAGATTTTGCTCTCCAAAAAGCAGGTGAAGCTCCATTTTTCACATATCTGAAATACATACTTAAGTTATGTGGCTTGAAGTCTTCGTTGTTCACATATTTCTAAACAGAACTACTTTACACAATTTCTCTCTTGCTCATAACACCTTGTTCTTCACGCGAGACCCTTACCCCCTAGCCCAAACATAATATGTGCACCCCAAACTAATATGCATCAAATTGGCTCCGCGTGTTTGTCGAGCAGTTCCTCATTGAAAGCGTAATTTTGGGAAAAACCGCAACACTCGCTGTACCTTGAACTCAGGGAAGTAAACAACAAAAAACACACATGATGTAAACGAAACCTACTTCCTCAGGTACAGATGCCTTTATAAAGAATTAGGTTCCTCATCACAGACAACAATCATTCACTCCAGTAGACTACACGTCAAACAAGTGGAGTAAGAATTAATTTTAACAGAACTTTCAGAACTTTTTGTCGTTCGTTCGTTTACCGTGATGGAGAAACTTTCAGATAAAGAACGGAAACCTGACCGAAGTTATCCGTCTGGAAAACTAGGTTACCTTTTACTCGTCGTGGTGATAGCTGGCCTGATTGCGTGTGTAATATTTCAATTCCTTACTTTGGCCTCAACGGAAAGACGACTTAAGGAAGTTGAGGAAAAGCTGAGTGAGGTTTCAAGAGAAATTTCCAAACACAACCGGTCTGAGATGGAGACGAACAGATTACTGAGCTCCACAAGACATAAGCGAAGTGCAAATCCCAAGTCAAATTTGTCAGACCTCACCAAGAAACTTGTAGCGCTGGACAGCAGGTAACAAAGTGTGTATTAATAGCGGGACGGGTACAGCAATTACTTAAAATTTAATATAACTAAAACTCAATTATAACGCTACCTGTTCTAAAATTATCTGAACTTAGCGACGCTGATTTAATCCTTAGAGTTGAATGTTTATTTCGCTTGCTGAGCTAAAGTCCTGAAAAAGAAATCATGACAAAAGTTAAAAAAGGAAAAAAAAAAGAAACAGGAAGATAACAAATAACACATGATTATGTCCCAAACTGATATCAAGTTCTTCAAAGTACGTGATTGCCCCCTCTGTAGAAATGCGGAAGAATCATCGGGGAAGTTGATTTAGCCACGTGTAAACCAAGATCGCGGATGTAATTTATATGCGTTTGCATTGTGTTAGTCTACAAACATCACGTAAAGGTTTTCTCGGGTGACTCACGCACGTATTCGCCTGATAGTCAGCAAAGACAACAAAAACACGGCAAGAGGTGTTCCAGCAGTGAACGATTGAGGAAGGATGAAAAAAAGAAAGTGCTGAAAGCGAAGATTAAGTGAGGGTTTGCTTGACCAATGAGCGCTTTTGAGTCTCATCTCGCGAATGAATGAATGCCCATTGATATTAAATTTTAGATGCTCCTCTAACACACTGATGTCCTTCAATTAACTCCTTTGCAGGACAGATAACCTTTTGAAAGAATTACGTCAGATGTCTTCCCTTGGGGGTGAGTTAAGAATAATAGATGTTAATTTTTACTGTCATTAATACTTTGATTATCATCATGATATTAATTGTACCATACAATCACCGTTAGACTGTTATTTATAAACTATTTAAGAAACACGGCTCAGAGACATCGAGTATGAACGATTGAGTGGGACAATCCTAAACTTCCCTCTCATTTTGGGCCTATAGAGATTTTTTTCCAGTCTGTACACTTCGTTTTGAAGGTTTTCTTAATCACGTGTGGTCCCGTTTCGGATATATTTGAGAATACCGATTTTCCGCCGGAGTTGGACACTAGCTTTCTCAAAAGCGACCTTGGTTTAGTAGCTCTAGTGATGTCATTCATGATTCAAAGGTATTCGAAAAGAAGACTGAACTATGAGCTTTCTATCTATACCTGAGCTTTCTATCTATACCTGAGCTCTCTATATATACCTAAGCTTTCTATCTATACCTGAGCTTTCTATCTATACCTGAGCTTTCTGTCTATAACTGAGCTTTCTATATATACCTGAGCTTTCTATCTATACCTGAGCTTTCTATCTATACCTGAGCTTTCTATCTATACCTGAGCTTTCTATCTATACCTGCTATCGAGCCTACGAGAATATTCTCAACATTAGCCTGTTTGGTCATTGAGTGGGCGCTTCATATTGTTGTGTCATCAACCGATCTGACAAAGTCGGTAAGATGTCAACCTAACTTATTTGCGTTTGCTGTTTTGTTGTCACAGTTACTTGACCTCAATTTTTTGCGACGGAGCTTTTAAAAGATTTACAACGTCTCCTTGAAAAATGAATCATATTTGGAGACAACCTATTAACTTTTATGTACTTTTATTCCGCTTTTAACATTTTATTCCTTCGGTTACGCCAGGGATGTTCTTTCTTTCTTCAAGAAACCAATGATTTTAGAACTGGATCAAATAATGTCTGACAAACAAAATCTTAAAATGGATAGGTGTTGATTAAAAGATTTTCAAAGCGAACAATGTCACGCAAAGTGAACACGCGCGATTCTTCTAAACAACTTCAGCCGCAATGCTTCAAGTCGTAAGATTTTCGGACTAGCAGAGTTGAAAATCAGTTGCTGCTGTTATTAGTAAGCGCAGACTAAAAATATAGATAACATTCCTTTTCAACGGAGGGCGCGATTTTGTAACTAACTCTCGATGTTCAATTTTTGTGCCTTGCCTCATAGTTCATATCTTTTATAAAATCGATTAAGTCATTTATATATTTACTCCACAATTAATCCGTGTTTTCATTTCCTTGTTTATTTTATTTCATTTATTTTATTATTATTATTTTTTTTTATTGCAAGGTGCTTCTAGGTGCAACACTTATCATGGTGAAATGAACAAAAATTTGATTTTTCTAATTACGTGCTGTCTTCAAATCTTGTTCAGGTCGAGATGGAAGAGATGGAAGAGAAGGACCCGCGGGTCCGAGAGGACTTCCGGGACCAAAAGGTATTACTGTTCATTAATAATTGCGATCGATCATAGATTGCGCACTTCTTGATTCCAGCTGAAACTACTGCAAAGGTTCCTTTGTGTCTACGAAATACTCGTGTAGAGGAAACATGTTCAGAATAAACGTTTCCAGTTCGCCTCTGGTTTTAGAGATAACGACGTGCTTGCTTGAATTTCCTTACTTCATATTTAGCTGAAACAAGCCTAATTTCTCGGAAAGAAAGAAAGAAAAAAAATGCATTGACCCCTATCAGTTAAACCAACCGGTCTTATGCCGTTGCCTCAAAGATGGAAATTTTATTAATAGTTCCCATGACTAGCCTAGGGTTACGCTACGAGCAAATCCTCCTTTTCGGCGAAGTCCATTGCGCGAATCAAAAAAGAAATCAGTTAACAAAAAAAAATATATGATATTTTAGCGCGCCGCGGGGAACTCTTGGAGTGAGGCGCTCGAAAAAGTAGATACTACAGGCTAACTTTGCACGGCTGAGTTCTTTTTTAATCTCAATTAGGGGAGGTGGGCCGCCGGTCACGGCACTCATATAACTAAATGACCAGCAGTCGGAAAACCGCAATGAACATTCCTACAGATTAATCTAGTCTAGATTGCACCGTGATTACTGTGTAATTTTATCAGGTGACGTTGGTCGGACGGGAAGCACTGGACCCCAGGGACCTCCTGGACCTCAAGGAGAAAAGGGACAAGAAGTACAGGGGCTGTCAGGCGTCAGTTACAACCACTGGGGACGAACGAATTGCACTGGAGATGCTACTGTAGTATACACAGGTAGGGAAAATGCGTCAATGACCCCAAGAATTATTTGCCATTGCCGTTATTCTCGGATGTTGTTAAGATGCTGTTCTTGTTTTAACTTAAGTCGAACCTGTTTTAAGCGGTCACCTTGTATTACGCGGTCGGTTGACAAAGTGCCGAATTTATTTCACTTTAATCACTGTAATTTGCACCGCTATTAAACGGTCACCTTTATTTGGCGGTCGCAGACACCCATTACTAAGCCTCAACGGCTTGTTTATATCGTCCTCCACCTGAAATGATCCGTCACTGAAAGCGGGACTACTCAAATAAAACTAAGGTTAATCTTTCAAGTGATGTTTAATCCATGTTCCTCTTCTAAAATCAAAGCGAGTAGTATTTTCCTGCGAGATTCCATAAATTAACTGGTCGATTATGGCATAAAATGGCGTTGTTTAGTTTTTTATAGTACCCCTAATCTGTGGAACTTTTTGCGCCGCGCCATTTCCTGTGGGTGACCACTTAAAAGTGGTATTAAAATACTGGTTCGATTGTACCATTTTTCTCTTATTGAACTTATGATTAGTTAACTAACTTAGTGATTAATGCATTTATTACATCCATTTTGAAATCGAACGAAGCTAGAGTCGCGCGAGGCGATAGCCGAGAGCGACTCTAGCTTCTTGAGTGCTTAGCAAACCTCCCAAGTGCATCCATAACTCGATCAATAGTGTACGCTGTGGTGTTTACCATTTGTTTTATAACATAACATTGATACATTGTAGCTAAAGAGTTCCCTTTTATTTAACAAATCTTACGTGACCAGAAAAAACAAGCGCGCGCGGAAGAATAGTCCTTGCATTTGCTCACGCCAGCAGCGTACACCCATGGGAAAAAGGGGGACGCTAAATTGACCAATCAGAGCGCACGCTTTACTTTGGTTATGTTATAAAATCTGATTGGCTCTAATTGGTGCGATTTATTCACAAATCGCACCATTTCTTGCTCTAAATCGCACAATTCTATGCTTGACTGAGTTTTTGACACAGGACGTCAAAGTCTCTGTTTTGCATACAAAATAAGATGTAAAAGCGTTTCCCGGTTCTGCTTTTTATTTGAAAACCGGCTCAGTGCTGCATCAGTAAAATATTTGAATTGACCAAGTCCTGTATTTGGGCGATCAAATCGAACTCGCGCTGCGCGCTCGTTCGATTTTGAAATCACGCGTATGATTTCAGCCCAAATTGCACTCTACTCAGTTAAATTACCATTATTAATGAATAAATGACCAATTCATGGATTACTCCGATGAGATTCCAATGTTTTGTTGCTAAGAGGAAAAAGAAAATAAGCAGGAGCAGCAACAACAGCAGCACCAACAGACAAACAAAATAAATAAACAATATCAAGAAATGGGGAAAGATTACAAGTTGCTTTAAAGCAGGCTAAAGGTGAAATTAATTTGGCCATTTTCACAAATTCATATATTAAAAATATCGAATTAACAAATGGTAAACACCACAGCGTACACTATTGAGTTATGGATGCACGCAGGAGGTTGCTAAGCACGAAAGAAGACGGTAAGAGTCACTTGAGGCGATAGCCGAGAACGACTCCGACTAGCTTTTTGAGTGCTTAGCAAACCTCCCAAGTGCATCCATAAGTCAATAGCGTACACTGTGGCGTTTACCATTTGTTTTATAACATAACATTGATACATTGTAGCGAGATTTTCCTTTTATTTAACAAATCTTACGTGACCAGAAAAACAAGCGCGCGCGGAAAACTAGTCTTTGCATTTGCTCACGTCAGCAGCGTACACCCGTGGGCAAATCGGGGACGCTGAATTGACCAATCAGAGCGCGCGCTTTGCTTTGGTTATGTTATAAATGCAGATGAAAGCGAATTGATTGTTTGGTTTTCAATACAGGCTGAAGCGGTAAGCTCTTTCTCTTTTCTTTTGTTTTTATAGGCTTTATGGGTAGTGCATATTATACCCATACTGGTAGTGGAACAAACTTCGTCTGTCTCACCAAAAATCCAATTTATGGGAAAGTCATTGCTGACTTTCAGGGAACAGCATCGATCCATGGCACTGAGTATCAAACCGCAGGATTCCCAGGCCTTTCAAACCTCAACCAGCATGACGCACCGTGTGCTGTGTGTTACGTCAGGACACGTGGCTCTCAAATAATGATTCCTGGAACAAATAAGTGCCCCTTAGGATGGACCAGTGAGTACAAGGGGTACCTAATGACCTCACACTATGACCACGCCCATCCCAGTGAATACGTGTGCGTTGACGAGAGTGCAGAGGCTGTGCCTGGAAGCCACCGCGACACAAATGGAGCTCTTCTGTTTATGGTACAGGGAGATTGTGGACACGCCCTAACATGCGGACCGTACATTCATGGCCATGAACTGACGTGTGTTGTCTGCACTAAGTAGCTCTGTCATTTTGTTCGATAATTTAAACAAATCACCTGTATTTTTTTAACACATGTCGTTGTATTGTATTTCTACTATTAATGTTGATGATTCATTTCAAAAACGTAAATACAGTTATGTTGTGTGGAAAACGAACTAGCATATCATTCCCGCACAAAGAGCAAAAAGCCGAGTAGAGGAGATTTTTGAAAGTAAAAGTTAGATGGCGATAGATCCTGTAGATCATGTTAAAAGTGACACTTCGGTGTCTTAATAAAACTGTGAAAATGTGGAATATTGATGAACGCTCCTGCTTGTACAGCGCATTCGTTAAAAACGTATTCTCTGTTAAGAATCTAAAGAGTGCCTCGTTAAATGTCAATTAAGAAAGCTATCTTGCCGTTCCTGTGAGGTTTTGCGTTTATCAACATGACGCCAATTTTAACAGGTTACTGTTTTTAAAAAATCTTTGAACCTGCAATTTCCAAGTGAACGTTTACAATTATTCTTTCACGTTTTTTTCTCAAACATAGTTAATTTTCCCCCAGCCCTCTCCCTGATTGATTAACGTAAGCGACAGCATTACTACTTTGCGAAAATCTGACTTTACTTGCTCGAGTAGCATTGCATATTTATTTGTTTTAGCGAAACCAGCATGGATGTTGATCCCCCCACAAAACCTGAGGTACAGGTGTCCTCCTGGCTATCAAAGATTTTCCCCTCCTCTTTCATGCATGTTACACTATTTTCTCAATCGCTAGAGAGATACAACTCGTACCAACTCAACTACTTTATTAACTGATGTAATAATACGTATATGTGAACGATCCTTCGCAGTAAAGCACTATTTGAGCAATAGTGAAAATCAGACCTGAAAAAAATTTCAGGCCTGTACGGGATTCGAACCACTGACCTCTGCGATACTAGTGCAGCGCTCTACCAATTGAGCTAACAAGCCAACTGGGAACAAGCCGTTAAGTTGATTCGTAATAAACCCGTGATGATAAATCACGGCCGGTTTGAAAGATGAGCTTTTGTTCAAGAGTTTTCCGGCTTTCCGTGCTACCTAAGTGTAAGAAAAGACCGCAGATTGCCATGTGTTGCTTAGAATGGTTAGGTAAATTAACCTCAGTATACTACTGCACAACTCACAGTTCTCTTCAGAGATCCTTGTAACGCATTGACGTCCACTTAAACTTTTTCCAACGTAGCCTTCCACACGGCTGAGGATTCCAATAACAGTAAATAACTCCAACAACTCTCTGCAGTCCAGCTCTGTAATAACACTAGCTCCTCTGGCTCTTCACGACAACACTAACTCACTGAAAAAGGCCTTATTTTAACTGATCGCGATTCCTTAGATATGTTTTACAAAATGTTCTAGAACATTCTATTTTTAGTGACAACTTTTTTTTAGTAACATTACATTACTGTTGCATCATAATAAAAGATACTGACTAAGGGTTCTAGAAAGTTCCATTAAAAGTTCCCAATGAGTCAGCATGACCAAGCGTTCTAGAAACTTCTTCATTTCTATTTATAGCAATTCCGTAACGCAACGCACTCTCCCTAACATGTAGAATAAATCAAACGAAGTTCTAGTTCTTCCGGATATCATTCCGGTTTGTCTTCAAGTTCAAGGTATCAGTCCCATTAGAATAACTGTCACTTGTAACCGATCGTCGCGTGGTTTTGAATGTTTCGATTTTGAACAACTCTTTGCGTGGTGTCCACCTGAGTAAACTTCACGACTTGGTAATGCCTTCTTCGGGATCATTCCACGAGATAAAAGACAGAATGAATCTAGAACTATTTCCAGGGGAAACCTCCTGTTCTACGCTTCAGAAAATGGTCATTGTGTTCAGGTTCGCACTGCAAAGGACATAAAGGTCGAGTTGTACATAGCTATGGGATAGACAATCTTACTTTATGGATTTAGTATACGTAGCCTTTCATTATTGTCCTACGAAAGAAGTTGATGCATATATATACCAAAATGCTCAGAGCAGGACAGATAATGAGATGGTCCAAGGGCGTTTCCAATGAGAAAATTCTATCGTCACCTGACGAAAAGAGAAATCACCGTCAGAGATGGAGGCTTTCCTAGACAATTTTGGCGAAGCCCTGTAAGCAAGAAGGAAGTTACTCAGGATCACAAGGTAATACAATGGAATCCTCCTCCTGAAAGACAGTTGTGGAGAGTTGACTCGAACGTACATTGACCAGCCAATAGATAGTGGATACGTTTCAGCAAAGACCAGTTATCGTACGGGAGTAAGGTCGTGATTTATGGAGACCTCTTGTAATGAAAGTTCGAATGAGGTCGCCACGATGATGATGATGATGATGATGGTGGTGATAACAATAATTCTATAGGATTACTTTTGTTATAAATAAGACCTGATGCACTTTAGCTGAAATAAATTTCCAAGAAAATGTCAATTTGAAGAGTGGTGCATTGATTGTCAATTTAGCTGGTTGTCCTGCCATTGCTGAGCGGGTGTCCTGAATGAAGAACTTGTTTTCTATTCATTGAGAGAAGCACTTGTTTGGTGACAGAATAAATGATTTTATCAAGACAACAGACGACATAATTTTAAAACAAAAGGAACAGATGCGACTTTTGTAAGCAGTTACATTATATATGTTTGCTTGTATTGGTGGTCAGAGGAGATGGTAGTCTTCAGGAAGAAGGTAAACGCCTCAAAATCTTGTTCTTTTTTCACGAAGTTCAAAGACGTATTTTCGCTATTTTGGCTTTATTGTTGAGAAAAAGGACAAGTTTAGCAAAACATCACTGCCTGCTTGGTAAACACTGATTCAGTATTTGTACAATTTTATAACCTTACAGATAATAACTACTTGTGAACGGCTTTGGGTGTAGAAAAACGAAGACCTGAGATTCAACCAGTTACAGCAATTTGTGAACATTTACTGAAACCAAAAAACCTGCAAAAATCTTGAGTTATTACCTTTTAGTACTTGTTTTAACACTATTAAGCACCACCTTGATTAATTGCCATGAACGACTGTAGTTTTTGACCTGTCCAAAATTGAAAATTTCCATATTTAAAAGTTCGACTGGTTTGGACATTGACACACCTACGGGACCAGACGAGCAGGCGTCGGACTAACCATCGAAGATATCTTTTTTAAACATTTTACCATGATTAAACATTAAATTTAGTTAGGAAAAATCGTTAGGGGTTACGCATGAGTTTACCAAGTGTTCGGCTATAGTTTCCTCGCTCCCTTCATGAAATATTTCTGCTTTTTCCATTCGCTAATACTCAACTTTATTATGTTTTTTTCTTTCTTTTAGCCCACTATGTCTGCCGTCATTGTTATTGTGTTTATGACAATTGCCGTTGTCCACGATGCAGAATCAGCAAGTGGTAATTGCCAAAATATTTAACATAATTATTTTTTTGCAGTAAATGGTTTGAACCCAGGGGTAACATGTGAAGTGTAGTCTGATCGTCCGGGTGAGTGTAGTCCTGAGAAGGACTGTTGTCGGTGGTAGTGACTGACGTTTCGACAACCTACAACAGTCCTTCTCAGGACTACACTCACCCGGACGATCACACTACACCTTCACATAATTATTTTTTTGTTTGTTTTCTTTGCTTGCTACTCGTGTTCATTTTATTTTGTTTCAAAATGCGAGTTCGTGGACAGGAAGGCTAATTATTCTTTATCATAAAAACATATACTGTTTTTATTTTCATATATGCTTTACGAATTGGCCTTTTAACTAATGAGTATATCTTGAAGTTTCAATGGCCACGAACTCTGCTGAGAAATTTTCGGCCTGCGGTGTTCCAAGAGGTGGGAAAGAAACTCAGAGGGTGATCTAGTATATAGTTAAGAATCTCTAAGACTGAGTTGCCCGAGAGCGCAGATAAGTTTGGCTAGTTCTTAGCATTTGTTTAATTTCGCCATTACGTGGGCAAGCTTTTTTGTGATGAAACTAATTGCTACCCTTAGAGTCCTAAACCAATCATTTTCATTTCCTGGCCAATGTAAATCTCGATAATCTTATTGACGGTCATAATTTATTTCTCTCCCTTGCACTCAAAGAATTTTTCGTGGAGACCATATGCGATGGTGAACCAGCAAGGACCCTAAGGTGCCCGAAGCAAAACGTCTTATCGACGGTTTGGGCGAGTTATGGACGGTTGCATAATGACATCTGCATTGATGGTGAGCAGCTTATCAACGTCACCTGCAAAGTCGACTTTGACACCGTGTTAGCCACAGTGCAGGAAACTTGCGACGATTCTAATACTTGTGAGCTGGAGTCAAGCAAAGATGCTTATGGTGATCCTCCTGAATGCAGAGGAGTGAAGAAATACTTGCAGGTCTATTATCTCTGCAAGTCAGGTAAGATGATGTGTTCCCAAGTACCGTCGTCCGCAAAACTAAATCAGGAAGTGGTTATTTACCAGGTTCAGAATCTTTGTCAGTTTCTTTGTCTTCGCTTTCATTTCTTTTGCCTCTTTTTTGAGTTATGTCTTAATTCTTTATCAATCTGCTTTTTCCGGGTTAGCTGGTTTCAAGTCCTTCCATAAAGTGGTACTTCCTGTTTTAATAAAAAGATATCCTGTCATCGTAATACTTGTTGCAAAAGTGGAAATTAAACAGTCAGCTGATCACGAAAGAGAAGAAAAGCTTACATTCTTTGTTACAAAATGTTATCATATAGTTGGGCTCTTGAAAACCGGGATAATAACTCTACATGCTCAATAAAAAGCTGGTTATTCTATCCTTACTGATATAATCATCACATGTGAAGGTGTAGTCTGATCGTCCGGGTGAGTGTAGTCCTGAGAAGGACTGTTGTCGGTGGTGGTGACTGACGTTTCGACAACCTGTGCGGAAGTCAACATCAGAGTCAAGTGAATGATTGTTGTCAGTAGAATGTTCTTATTCCAGTTCGTGTAAAATGATCAATTGGTTTTGCCGTGATGTTATTGGCTGTAAGACTCAAGTGACGTAAGTCGGTCGTGATTGGTCTGTTTCGATCTGTCGGTAAAGTTAGGTCGTTATTCCTCGATGTTCTGCATCACGATGTTCTTCCGAAACTACACAAACCTGGTTTCCCGATGCGACCTATTGTTTCTTTCTGTGGCTCTCCCACACACCAACTATCCAAGTACCTCACGACAACACTACAACCGCTAACCGACAAATCCAGACATAAACTACAATCCACTGAAGACTTCATTAACGCTACCAAGACTGTTCAGATACCTGACGACTACAAACTAGTGTCATTTGATTTGAAATCACTGTTCACAAGTATTCCACTTCAACTGGCATTACAATGCACTGAGACTGCAATCCGACAATCTACCGACCCACTACCGCTACCGACAGACGACATCATGGACTTGCTAAACATTTGCCTAACGTCTACTTACTTTCAGTACAACGGTAAACACTACAAACAGTTATACGGCACTGCCATGGGGTCTCCAGTTTCTGTTGTTATAGCAGAAATTGTGATGCAGAACATCGAGGAACGCGCCCTTTCGACTTGCCGACAAACGATACCGCTTTGGTTACGTTACGTTGACGACACATTCACCGCCGTTCGACACGACGAAATTGACGCATTCCACAACCACCTTAACGAACAAAACACTGACATACAGTTTACCAGAGAAGTCGAAGAAAATGGCAAACTTCCTTTTCTAGACTGCCTGGTAAGCCACAACGACAACTCATTACGAACGACAGTTTACAGGAAACCGACACACACCGACAGATTACTAGACGAGTCATCCTACAACCCTACATCACACAAAGCCACAACTATCAGAACTCTAACACGACGCGCACAACTAGTATGTGACTCGACAGACAGCTTATCCGACGAGAACAAATACCTTCACCGTGTTTTTACGAAGAACAACTACAACAACGACTTCATCCGACGAAACACTCACCGACCCACTACCACTACCGAAACAAACGACACCGCAACCCCTACGACTACAGCAACCATACCGTACATAAAAGGCATGTCTGAAAACATCTCGCGCATCTTACTACCCTTCAATATCCGCGTCGCCCACAAACCCATCACCACACTACGTCAGTTACTAACCAACGTTAAAGACAAAGACGAACCGAGGAACAGACAGGGAACGATTTATAAGATCAATTGTTCCGACTGCCAAGCCTCCTACATCGGTGAGACTGGCAGAAACCTCACAACAAGACTGACTGAACACAGACGGGCGACGAGGAAAGGTGATGTCAGCAATCACATTGCTGAACACCATCGACTTACCAACCACAACATTGACTGGGACTCTGCGCAATGCCTAACCTACAGCACTGACTATTTTCAACGACTGACTCTGGAAAGCTGGTTTACTAACTTAGAACAGACTCCCCTAAACAGATGTCAACAACTACCCGCCCCATACAAACGACTCATTCACGACATAAACATCACAAACGACCGAAAAAGAACAACCTAGCTTTACCGACAGACCGAAACAGACCAATCACGAACGACTTACGTCACTTGAGTCTTACAGCCAATAACATCACGGCAAAACCAACCGATCATTTTACACGAACTGGAATAAGAACATTCTACTGACAACAATCATTCACTTGACTCTGATGATGACTTCCGCACAGGTTGTCGAAACGTCAGTCACTACCACCGACAACAGTCCTTCTCAGGACTACACTCACCCGGACGATCAGACTACACCTTCACATGTTACCCCCGGGTTCAAACCATTTACTGCATAGAAGTAATAATCAGTCGCAGCATCATTGATTCGCCATGATCCGCCAAGACACAAATCGCTTGCACATCCAANCCACTACCGCTACCGACAGACGACATCATGGACTTGCTAAACATTTGCCTAACGTCTACTTACTTTCAGTACAACGGTAAACACTACAAACAGTTACACGGCACTGCCATGGGGTCTCCAGTTTCTGTTGTTATAGCAGAAATTGTGATGCAGAACATCGAGGAACGCGCCCTTTCGACTTGCCGACAAACGATACCGCTTTGGTTACGTTACGTTGACGACACATTCACCGCCGTTCGACACGACGAAATTGACGCATTCCACAACCACCTTAACGAACAAAACACTGACATACAGTTTACCAGAGAAGTCGAAGAAAATGGCAAACTTCCTTTTCTAGACTGCCTGGTAAGCCACAACGACAACTCATTACGAACGACAGTTTACAGGAAACCGACACACACCGACAGATTACTAGACGAGTCATCCTACAACCCTACATCACACAAAGCCACAACTATCAGAACTCTAACACGACGCGCACAACTAGTATGTGACTCGACAGACAGCTTATCCGACGAGAACAAATACCTTCACCGTGTTTTTACGAAGAACAACTACAACAACGACTTCATCCGACGAAACACTCACCGACCCACTACCACTACCGAAACAAACGACACCGCAACCCCTACGACTACAGCAACCATACCGTACATAAAAGGCATGTCTGAAAACATCTCGCGCATCTTACTACCCTTCAATATCCGCGTCGCCCACAAACCCATCACCACACTACGTCAGTTACTAACCAACGTTAAAGACAAAGACGAACCGAGGAACAGACAGGGAACGATTTATAAGATCAATTGTTCCGACTGCCAAGCCTCCTACATCGGTGAGACTGGCAGAAACCTCACAACAAGACTGACTGAACACAGACGGGCGACGAGGAAAGGTGATGTCAGCAATCACATTGCTGAACACCATCGACTTACCAACCACAACATTGACTGGGACTCTGCGCAATGCCTAACCTACAGCACTGACTATTTTCAACGACTGACTCTGGAAAGCTGGTTTACTAACTTAGAACAGACTCCCCTAAACAGATGTCAACAACTACCCGCTCCATACAAACGACTCATTCACGACATAAACATCACAAACGACCGAAAAAGAACGACCTAACTTTACCGACAGATCGAAACAGACCAATCACGACCGACTTACGTCACTTGAGTCTTACAGCCAATAACATCACGGCAAAACCAACCGATCATTTTACACGAACTGGAATAAGAACATTCTACTGACAACAATCATTCACTTGACTCTGATGGTGACTTCCGCACAGGTTGTCGAAACGTCAGTCACCACCACCGACAACAGTCCCTCTCAGGACTACACTCACCCGGACGATCACACTACACCTTCACATGTTACCCCCGGGTTCAAGCCATTTACTGCATAATCATTACAGTTTTACATGCTCTGCACTTTCCGTACAAGCTAGTTATTTATCAGTAACTGTCATAGAAGCTCTCCCCTCACAGTATCTATTGAATTGTTACATCTCTACAGAGTTGATTAAAAAGTCCATTTGCGAGTTCAATCCACCGGAAAATATCACATGTCCGGAGGCACAAACTATAGAAGTTGTCAATGCTAACTACGGGCGAACAGATAAATGGACATGCGGGGAACAACTAGCTGACAACAATCGCTGCACGTAAGTAAATTCTTCCCGATGCCAACCTTTACAAAATCGCTGAATCGAGATAACGCTAAAAATATTGACAGAACGATGACAGAAATACTAAGAAGCCTCTTTTAATCAAGACCTGTAAAACCGTCACTTTTAGTGTCACTGATGAAATTCCTGTATCGTTATCTCTGTTTTCCACGGTCCTAATAGAAGGGATGGTTGCCATGGCGCTTGATTCGGACTTATCGGACCAATCAAAGAGAACGATCCCCTTAATTTTGTTGAAGACTCTCTTCCGTTGGTTTGTCTCTGGGTTGATTTTGATTAATCTTTTTCATGTTTCCCTTACACTATCCTCTTGCAGGTCACCAAATTCAGATCAGATAGTGAAAGAAAAATGCAATGGTCAAAACGTTTGCGAACTCGAAGCGTCCAATGAAGCGTTTGGAAATCCTTGCGGACAGACACACAAGTACCTTCAAGTGGATTATCATTGTCAAACGGGAAAAATTATAAGTAAGGCAGACTATGATGGAGGAAGTGTAGACCTATCTTATAAGGAGTCCTTTTTATCAGTTTGAACGAGTCATACTTAGGTTACGGCACTAGAAAACCCAAGCAACTGAGTTTTCTCCAACAGAGGGTTATTTAAAGCGAAAAATATCCAGCAGTTAGTTTTAAGCCCTTATAACACTCCTCAGACAACTTGATGAAATGTTAGGGTAGATGGAAAATGGTTTAGAGGGTGGGTTTGCCAAACAATGACCTAACTTGCTATAACCGACCGTCTATGTTTATCTTCAAAAAGGTCAGGTTCCTTTATTTTTGTGGACTTTTTTTGTTAGAATTTGTTGCCCATTGTGTTTCAAAAGAAAAGAAAATGATTAAAAACAAAGTTTGGATAAAAAAATGGATAAAAATCTTGGAATTTGCTTTTTCTTTAGACAAAAGCTCGGGAGAAATGAGTAAGATGATGATTATGATGAGGTAAGGAATGTCAGGGGCATTTTTTATTGACTCGGTCAAGCCTATTTTAAAACTCAGAAAACCAGGGACATTGGAGATATTCCAAGAATGTAAAATGTGTTGAAGATAACTAGTCAATCTAAGCGTGAAATATCTCAACCATGCACAGAAGCGATGACTAATTTTGGGTTTTTATGGTTTTCTTACATGACCTGATCTCCTGTGTGATTGATCAAACAAAAACAATGACAGGCCTTGATGGGGTTCATAGTTTCCACAGTTTTCTTGATAGGGCGAAGTTTGACTATAATATACCAACTACGGGCGCCTTAATTCTTGGAATCAAGATCCATCAAGCAAATTATACCGGGCTTTATTAATGATAATCAGTAATAATAATAATGATAATAATAGTAATAATGATACTAATAGTTATAATGACACATTTTCCCTACCATCCTATATTTTAAAAGTCAAACTGACTGTTAACGTCAAATCTGTTTGTTTCACTTTATGCTGATCTTGCTTTTACTGTTTGGCATCCGTACAGGACTTTACCAGGAGAAAAGGCCTAACGCGAACGGAGAACACAGAACAGAGCACAAAAAAGATTTAGTGATAACATATAAACAGACAGACTCAATCATAGTGTAGCCAGTGATCTTCTTAAAGTATTTTATGGAAATAGCATTGATTCTGACTTGCAAAGAAAGAAATGGAAGCAATACTGAATAAAAGAGTACAGGAGAAAGAATAAATTAAACTGCATCACCAATTTCCTTTTGGTGCACAAGCACTTTCGTCTTAAAATGCTTAGGTAGTTAACGTTCGAGGGAAAAGAGCACGAAGAAGGGTTTTCGCATTGTAACTCTTCATTTGCCAAAAAGTGCTAACTTAACTAGTGCTAGATTATTGGTTGTGGAGTTGAACATTGGAGAGAATATAACCTTATGATCATCAGTTATCTTGCGCTTTTCGTTTTCCGCTCTTGCCAAAGTTGCTGTAGAACCACTCAGCGAATATTTAACTTAGCGTAAATTTCGTGGATCTGACGTGTTGACTCAGTGATTGATCAGAACAAGCTATTGATGTTGGCTACCTCTCCCTCCAATGGGCACGTGAATACATTCAAACACATACATTGCGGCAGTAAACCTCTAGATCCTACCATCACAATTTGCTAAATTGTCTATACTGGTTTTGGTCTTCATTTGCTTCGTGATTTTGCTGTGTAATTAAAAATTTTGGAAATTGAACCTATGAAAAGAGATGGAAAAAATGTAAAGGCAAGCAGGTGGCCCTAAAATGATATTGAGCCCGTCACTAGGTAACTTTGAAGACACATTTCGTTGAGCTCAGGTCATTTTAAGGGTGATAGCGACTTTTCGCCAATTTGATATTACAGAGACGACGATTTAGAAGCGAATGTAAACATACACCAAAGAAAGCAAATATCAGTTGTTTCATAGCAACGTTTCTTACTTTCCTCACAAATTTCACATTCCTATCTTGACATATAAATGCCAACAATGGAATAGACTCTTACATGGGTAAGACTCTTAACCCAAAAAACATGCATGCCTCTTTTAAAATGATACTCTGAGCTCAATGTTATAAGAAATGCATCGCTGCCATTTTTTCTGATGTATAATATCCTTGCATACAAATCATAGTGACAGTCAAAGTCTTTATCGTTGTCAGTCCACTTGGGGAACCTTTCACCATATATGTATTGAGCACTGTATAATTTTATGGCATTTTCATAAGCATTACATTTAATTTTATTTATATCAAGATTACTATTATGAAAGAGCAGCTTAATTTTAGACATCTGGGTGTCAAATATTGCGAAAAGCATATGGCAAAGACAGTTTGTTTTCTTTTGGAGTTATGTTAATCGTCTTTGTCGTCATTCCTCTCTTTACTCGTTTAATTGTTTATCTTTCATTTGTTTATCTTTCACATTTTTTAGCAAGTTCATTATTCCGTGCGTAGAGATTTAATGTAGACGGCTTTTATTGAGCAAACAGTGCAAATGAAAAAAGAGTCAGACGGTTATTGGTCACTTTGACCTTTGTGTTCGGACACGAGAGTACGAAACCGAAAAATACGATCGCTCTAAGGTGTTCATGTGGACTGAGAGAAAAGGAATTGAAGCAGCTGTATTATATGTGGAAGTTAACTTTATCTTGGGCAGTATGTTTTAGTTACTTAATTTCTGGGTTTTATAGGCTTAGCCTACTTTGTCAGCGGTTTTTGGGTGTTGTGATCAACTAAGCAAGTGTATTCGAATGATTTTTGACCCTATTCACCTAAAGATCTCCAAGAATTGTGTTTAAATCTAAAAAAAAAATTATGTTCGAGAATTTTCTGATATTTTCTATTATTCGTAATATAAGCAACTAATGAAAAGGGCTGAACATCTAATCCTTTATCAAAAACCAAGTGTCTCCATTGCTACTTTCAAATTTTTGCCAACATTTGATTCATCCATGAAGATTCGTGGCAGCCGAGCTCGACAACAGGGATCATACTCTTATAGATCAATTGATTAGGCATTTGAAGAGCATTAAGTCGTTAACGTCACAGAGTGTTTGGAGAGGCGCCTATTCCGAGATAATAGTTTTATTTGCTATGATTAGTTTCTGTTTTTTTTTCCTGTTTTCCTTTGGAGTTATATTAATCATCTTTGTCGTCATTCGTCTCTTTACTCGTTTGATTGTTTATCTTTCATTTCACATGAGAATAATTTGTGGCCAAAATGAAAAATCTATGAACGTGCACTCCGATCAATTTGATCCCCGTTGCTGTTTGATTATCAAATACTCACAGATTAAATCAATTTCCCTTTGCTTTAATTAAGTTGGGCTAGACATAATACCGCCTTTCGTAATTACATGTACCTCTCTCTTTGCAAAAACCCTTTTAATGTTTTAATAATTCTGAGCTTGGTATAAATTTCTTTAAAAATTTTACGTGATGGAATCGAACCATGGCAACCCATGCTGACGACACAAACTTCCATTGTTAACCTGAAGGTAAACTAATCTTCTTGGCTCCTAATATGTCTTTTCGCAACTTTTCTCCGCCCTGAAGTATATGCACGTATGTTTAGAAAATAAGTAAATAACGCAAAGTAAAACGAACAAGGCACCCTAGATGTATATAGGAAGTCTGCGTTTCGATTTTTCCGTATAACAGCGCTCGATACATAGTAGTTGAGTATGTTGAGTAAAATCCCGTGATGAGTGAGCAAGCACGAAACAGGCTTGTAGGGATAAAAACGTAGTATATATATACATATATTCTATATATATATAGAGAGAGAAGTTTTAGAAAAAAATATATATATATATAGAAAAAAAGATATATATATATAGAAAGTTTTAAAAAAATGCGAGAATGTGCAACTTCTGACGTAAAAAAGATTAAAAATTTTAATAAAAAAGTTTCAGTCAGACCTTCAGTCATTTATAACTTTTGAAATAATAAAGAGCTTTAAATAAGATCGAAGTGCTAGTGATTACGTAATTACAAGTGACGACTAATGAACTGGTGCTAATAAAAAGATGACAAAAAACCAAGCTACAAAGAAAACAATGAAAAAATACAAAAGATAATACCTAAAAACTAAGAGATAAAAAACTAAATATGCTAAACTGAGTGGTGGAACCGAAGAAGCAATACGCCATTATTTCAAAAGTTGTAAATAACCGAAGAAGGTCTCTGACCGAAACGTTTTTATTAAAATTTTTTTATCTTTTTTACGTCAGAAGTTGTTCATCCTCGCATTTTTTTAAAACTTTCTACGTTCGTGTTTGCTGCGAGGTCTGGACGGCGAATCTTTATTGATCCTCCTGGCGAGAAATCCTTCGGTGATGTAGTTTTCGATTTTTCTTTCTCTTCCAAGTCTCACTTTACGTCAACTTTAATCGTGAATGAAAGGCAAATAGCAATTTAATTTAAGTCTGACCAAGTAACGTTGTGATCGTTTGACCGGTTATTGAAATGAATGAATAAATGATAGTGTTTTCTTCGACTTTAGCAAACAAAAGAAATTAAATTTCACAAAGTAATACAAATAAAAATCATTCCTCAAGCGTAGGCAGGATTCTCATTTACAGTCCTTATTCAAAAAAGCAATCTTCTCTGCAAGACAACTATGTCAACATTTGCGGAGGAGGTGCAGATAGTTAAAAGGCGTTCAATTTGCGAACGTCGAATAAAAATCCTTGAAGCTTGCTGAAACGTGAGACGAAATGCTTCCAAGCTTTGTGAAAAATCAGTTTCTCTGCCCCTGATATAGCCAGGTTATCAGTTGCAGAAAGTGAAATTAAGACAGAGGTCGTTACTGTAAGTTTTTAATATTGGAATGTTTTGACGACAAAGACCAATAACCACCGCGCGACAGGAAGCATGAAGATTAATCAAGTTTCTGTTTGCAAAATGAAGCCAAACAATCAAAACGCGGTTTGCTGTTGTGCTATCAACTTTTAAAGAGGATGGCAGGTGAGTTCCAAATTGTCAAAACAATTTTACCTGTTTTGAATAAAGATCATCGATGTAAGAATCACATCAGTTTTACCATTCACGTATGGTTGTCGAACCCTGGGCAAAAAACTTAGCTAGGAAGAAGCTGTACGCTCAATGCCCAAATATAGGCGAAACGGTACCAATTTTTTTGGCTGGGCCAATTTTCTGCCCTTTGATTTTAAAGGTGAGTTTATTTGAAGTTTTGAGCAGTTAATGATTTTGGAAGCGGTACATGAAATCGTGTTTCACCATTTTAATTCGCTTCGGATAACATTCAAACTGAATATTTCGGAGTCGAAAACAGTTCGACTTCGAAAGAGGTGTGGTACTCTGTATAAATCAACCAGAAACAAGACAGAATGAACTGCTATATTTCTATATAAAAAGGGATGTTGAGAAAAGGTAACATGCAAAACGTTACGTAAAGTAATGACGAAAAAAAAAAGGACAAGGAAAAAAATTAGAACAAAAAAAAAACCTTAAGAGTAAATGCTTGATTTTTCCTACTGTGAAGCTCCATTTCTTCCGCAGGAACCTCAGCTTAGCGAGGCAGGATTTAATTTGATCCCTGGAGTCAGAATGGGGAACAGCACCAACGAATCATCTCCGTCTCCTCCTGTGTTTCCATTTCATCTAAGAGTTTTGAAATTGAGTTTATACGTCATCATTTTTGTTACAAGTCTTGTCGCTAATATTCTTGTTTGCACCGTCATTTTGAGACGTAAAAAAATGAAGACAGTCACAAATTATTTCATTCTTAACTTAGCGATCGCCGATCTGACGCTCAACTGCGTGTGTATCCCATTTGATATACCAGTACAAGAACTGAACTCTGTCTGGCCGTACGGTTCGCTCATGTGTAAAATATTGTATCCCATACAAACACTGTTGCTCTTCGCCTCTGTGAATACTCTTACAGCGGTAAGCCTGGCTAGGCAAAGGGCGGTTGTATATCCTATGAAGAAACAGCTGAGCAAATTTGGCGCTAAAATAATCATAATTGGACTGTGGCTCTTTTCCCTTATTCCCGTTATACCTTACTTTCAAGCGTTGAAATTTAATCCAGAGCTCCATATCTGCGAGGAGAGCTGGGACGACTCCACAACCACCAAAGTGTACACTTCAGTCATCTTCTTCTTCCATTACCTCCTGCCATTCTCTATTATGTTCACTGCATATTTTAGCATCAGTCAAGAATTGAAGAGAAGAGCGGAGAATGGTAACCAGCACATGAAAGGTGTTCAGGAGTTAGAAGCCCGGAAAGTAGTACGCATGCTGAAGGTGGTGACGACACTGTTTGCTTTGTGCGTGCTGCCAAACAACGTGATGTGGTTCTGGCGTGATTATGGAGACGCTGAGAGTAAATGCAAATATTTTGGGGAGTTGGTAGCCTTCACAAATATTCTTATATTTGCTAACAGCGCTGCTAATCCTATATGTTACACCATCTTAAATGAAAATTATCGGCAAGAAATATCGAGGTTGATCGCATGTGGGTCGTGCAAACTCCAGGGTGTGCTGAGCAAAAAAGAAAACAGAGCAGTTAATATGCAACTTTCCAATGAAGAAGCTAAGAAAAGGTCATCCACCATGTCCTCATATGTTTAACAAAGTTCTTACACAAATTGTGTATAATAAATAGTACTAGTTTTGGAATACAAAAGCGGATAGATGCATTTTGATCACAGTCTTGTTGGTTTAATTCGTGAAGGTTATATACATTGTAAGTGTACCGCTGATCAGAATAATTCTAAACGCAGTTTCTTCAGACATGTGCGTTAGAAAGTTTGCCAACGAATTTCATAGCCGTCGTGTATAATAAGTACGACCATCCGTTTGGCAGTGATTTTATGGACGCCTCCGAGTCTTGTATAAGGCCAGTTCTAGAATATTGTGCCCCACTGTACCATCACGCACTGCCTGACTACTTAAGTAAGGATATTGAACGCATTTAAAAACGCGTACTATCAATTATTTCGCCAGGCCTTTCTTACGATGACAGCCTGTCAATATACAACATGGGATCTTTAGACTGGACAGACCCATACATCAATGCGAAAAATTGTTTGATTCCATTGTATGTAATCCAAATCATAAGTTACACCATTGTCTCCCTCCCAAGAACTATTGTCATTATAACTTTAGAAGACAACGCCACTTTGACAATCTTGTCATGCGTACCAAGCGTTTTTCTAGCACATTTCTGCCATCTATGTGTAGTCGTTAGGAGTTTTCGTAGTATGAATTTTTATGAATTTTTATAAATTAGTATTCTAAGCTTAATTTTGTAGGTTTTAGCACTTTTTCATATTATAAGCTTTGTATTAATGGAATTTGTAAATTCATGCAGTTCAGCCTTAGATGGCTACCATATGGATTTAATTAAAGTTTTACTTTACCTTACTTTACGTAATATTTTTACTAATCATAGCTGGTCCTTAACGGTCTGTCTAGACCTTCAGTGCTATAAATAAATTTTATATCATCTATCTCCAGCCGTTTTCATACTTTTAAAGTTGGAGTCTCTTCATTGTCCGCGTCTCTGACATGTAGAAAAGAATAAGTCTAATTATCTCGAGAAATATCCATTTTTTTTCTTTTTCGATTTGTTTTTTTAAAATTAAAGTTTCCACCGTGCTTTAGCTGGGCGCAGTTACTGGAAAAGTCAGACAATTGCTGTCGTAATATTAGCTTGCATGCACGTTTATTAGAAAGAGATGACTAAAAAACGAAACAAAACAAAACGAAACCGAAAAAACAAAAAACAAAAAGGACAAGAAAAAAGAGAACTCTATAGATATATAAGCTCTTAACGTAGCTGTCTTTTTTCTACTTCGCAAAACCCATACAAAAGACAAAAGAAATGAAATGAAATAAGTGAATTTAGTGTTGAGGGAAGATACACTGTTCTTCTCTTGCTTCAAAAGTTTCTTTCCTGTTCTCGAACATTCAAAGTAACCAATACAGTGAAAATATAATGATACTTTGTAGTCGCAGAGTTCATATTTTATTTATCTCGCATATCTTAAAATTGATTTACATAATCAGGCACCTAAAGTAGGTGGAATAAAAGCAAAGACGAGATACTAAGTTTTAAAATAAAAAAGTAAAGAGTTGTTACAGATAGTTCTACAAACCTAAACATTACTCTCAACGCAGACATAATTTTCTCGACGATCTGTCTTGTTTACCACTTAGCGTTTACACAAGTAGTCTGAGCGCGAGATTCTAGATTTTTCAAACACTGATTCTGATTATAAATAGCCCATCAGTCATTAATTAATAACGCTTCTCGTGAATGTTGTCTGCAAAAAGAAGGCATGGGTTTATACCAACAATATTATGTTACTATGGTTCCTCTGTGTTCTACCACCATTAGTGGCCAACATTTGACAATGGCTTGAAGCAACGAACAAGGCCTATATCACGCGATTGTTCTTCTGTGGGCACAGATGTGAAGCATGTTGTTTGTTTGTGCCTTCGATCAGTTGCCAGTCAAGACTTGATATCTCGAATGTTATAAGGACGTCAATGATATAATTGCTGCTTAACTCGTGTATTCACTTAATTAAAATCACAGACTAAAAGGGACCTCGGCTCACTCAAGCAGTAGTAATGGGAAGTGGAACTTCAAAACCGCTCAAAAGAGGTCATGTAAGTACAACCATTTCTATTGGCGTAACCATTTGAAGAGAGAAAGAAAGTATAGTCCTTAATATAAACAGGTAGCCCTGTGCTTTAAAAAAAAGGAAGCGCACTCCTATCGATGGAAAAATAGATGGAAAAACGATAAAAATAAAGTTTGGCAAACCTTTCTCGCATTTTCGGAGCACTACTAGTCAATCAGTAAATTTGCATATTGTAAGAAAGTCGATAGGACCACATGCTGAGGTGTTAAAAAAAAACAACAAGAAAAAAAAAGGAAGAAGAAGAAAAGACAGACAGCAGACTAAATCAATCGTTGAACAGGGAAATATGAAATTTCTCCATCATCTGCTTCAAGTAAAAGCAGCCTTTTTATATGAAATCGTTATAAAAATCATGATCATAACAAATGACGAAAATAAAGAATTTTGAAAAAAGCCGAGTCCGATAGCAGCAAGAGTCGCCGAGTTATACTTAACGACCAGCTCAGAGGAAGCGCTTTTCAGTTCTTTTTCTCGCCTGACGCTTACCTAACTCAATTGAAAAAAACTCGAGAAATGACGCCATTCCCCAGACTACAAAGATACCATGCAATTTTTTTCAGAAATCCAGATGCCTATAGATTTCAGTGAACAAAATCACCTCTCGAACTGACGAGTTTACCGAGTCACAATCAGTTTTGTTTAATTTTCGAGCGAGTAGGCGGTGGGAAAGTTAGCCAGCTCCTCGCCATCTAATCCCTCCTTTCCTACGATTTTAATTCTTCCCCTTGACAGAAACTAACAAGAATATGAAGCAAAAGCATTATGGATGCGCGAAACGAAGCTGAAATTTTAGAGCCCTTGTCTCTGGGTTTATTGGAGGGTCTCAGTAATTGTTAATTCTTTTCCGTTGCAGGGTGACAAAAATGTTTTTTTTTTTTTTTAAATTAACTTTCTTATGACCTACAGCAGTTTTAAATTATAATCTCTTGCTAACAGTTAAAATTTGTCAATTCTCACGCCTGACAGCAATTTTTTTGCCATTTTACGGCTGACATTTAACCATATCGAGACCCTCTTAGTGTACGTTTAAATGTCCTTGAGAAAAGTTTTGATGAGTGTGAGCTTGAAATTGCAGCTGTATTATAACGGTGGCCTTCTAATGCGTCTTAAACACAACTTTGCTTATCATGATGTTAAATGAGATTTATCAAATGAGAGTATTAGGTAGCGTTTTCCTTCGGCTATAAGCTTGTTTTGACTCAGTAGCGGGCACGAAGGAATGCTTTACGTCTACTTTTTAATTTTAATTTCTTTTCTCTTACAATTCAGGTTAAAAATAAACCAATATTTCACAGGATCTCCTCTCCCCACTCCTTAATCAAGTCACGGTATGATGTAGTGGTGATAGGCTCTGGCTATGGAGCATCCATCGCTGCAAGCCGCTGTGCACGAGCAGATCAGTCCGTGTGCGTTCTGGAACGAGGCAAGGAGTGGTTACCAGGTGATTTCCCAGAGACTTTCAAAAAAGCATCGGAGCATGCGCAAATCAATTTTGGTGGCAAGGGAAGAAAACTAGGTATGACTCACAATCAGCCTGAGGTGTTAATGTTGTTGTTGTTTTTGTATTTCAATTTGCGAACTGTCCAGAAGAATAGCTGTAACTTAAAGGTTCGGTGTATACCCAGTTTAATGTAAAGAGTGTTCCTTTGTACATCTCCTTTGTATATTTGCGTTATTACTGATAATGTTTCACATATCCAGTGCAAAAAAAAGCTCTTACCAACAGATGCTACTTTCGTGCACGTATCCTCCATGTAAATTAAAAAAAAATTAAATAAATACTGATATCAACTTACTTCTAGGTCAGCCTTCTGATTTATATGAACTAATTATCACTGATGACCTGACAGTGGTCCAAGGGTGCGGTCTGGGTGGGGGATCTCTAGTGAATGCCAATGTGGGACTGGACGCAGAGCCTGGTGTGTTTCAGGACCCAGTATGGCCAAAAGAGCTAAGAGACGACGTGGATCAACTGCTGAGAATCGATCGGCAGCACTTTGTTGATATGATAAAACCAACGCCATATCCAGACAATTACCCACCCCTTCACAAACTTGACCGAATGAAGGATGGATTGAGCAAGTTTGATATCGAGGACCTAGATAAGGTGCTTTACAAGACTCCTCTTTACGTCACGTTCAAGGACATGCCATTGAATCACGTTGGCATCCCCCAACCTAAATGCACAGCGTGTGGGAACTGTTGTGCAGGCTGCAATGTGGGAGCTAAGAACACATTGAATTTTAATTACCTGCCTGATGCAAAGGCTCATGGAGCTGAGATATTTGTGGAGGTAATTAAAAGTTCATAAAAGGATATCAATAAATTCATCATTGTCATTTAAACAAGATGATATCTCGCCTTTACTTACCTTGTGTAGATGCTTGTAACTAATGAGAATGATTTACAGAAAATTTTTTTTTATCTTGTGTCTATAGTATCTTAGCTTGTTGGTCCCATGATTTGTATGTCGTGAAGAATATTGTTTGAAATCAAATATATTCTTTACACTCCAGATATTCTGAAGTAAATAGAAAAGGTGTGAATAAAAATAGGAGACATAAGGGTAAGGCATAAATATTTGGGTATTGCGTTCTCTCAAATTAAGTTCATACATTTCATCTTTCGTTTGCAGGTAGAGGTGGTATCTATTCTTAAGTCCCATAATTCCACGGATTGGATTGTCAGTTACAAGAGGCAGGTTCCTGGAAGTTTCGATCTCAACGAACAGTTTGTTCGTGCAACCTACGTAATTCTCGGTGCTGGAGCTTTAGGTTCGACCAAGATTCTTCAGCGCTCAAAGGAACGTGGTCTAGACGTGTCTGATGAAATTGGGAAACGGTTCTCTACTAATGGAGACGCGGTCGGATTCAGTTATAACGGAGACAGAGAGGCAAATTCCCTTGGGGTTGAGACTCGCCAAATGGCGTCGGTCCAACCCCCGGGGCCGACCATTGTCTCAGCAATGGACTTCCGAAAAGTAAATAACGATAATTTTGAAAAGAACATTATCATCGAGGACGGCACACCGGCGTCAAGTCTTTCTGAGTTGTATGCATTTGGTGTTAGCTTTGCCGCAAAGGTGACAGGAGAAGATAAGTTCCCTTCAAATGAATGGCTCGAGAAAGCATTTCAGGTAATGGATATATACGTAGGAACCAGCAGTCAATAAGTACAACATTCACTGAACTTGTAATTATTTCGTATGACCCATGAGAGCCGCTAAAAAATTCCAAAGCCCATGTCGAATGAAAGAGAGGTAGAATTATTGAGGCTCTCAAAAAGAGACGATGTTCCAAAAATCTGGATCCGATGGACATTATACTGATGAGTTCTCTATTCCATAGTTTCTTCATGGGTGTGCAGTCGTTAAATCTTGAATCTCTGCTATTCTAATCAGTCGTTTTCAGCGGTATTCCCGGAGCTACGCCAAAAGGAACCTCGCCAATAGCCGCTATAGCAATGACGGTGAATGATTGAGTGCGTAATTGACGGTATGACATGTAGATGACAAACAAAAACCATTGGAATGTTATCATCATGGAATAGAAATCATAGTGCCCTGGATAAAAAGATATTTCTCTTTGTTTAAATCGCGAGCAAATTTTTTAAAAGATATTCGCCTAGATCTTTTAAACATGGGACTACTGCAAGCAATCAATTTTTGTCATTATTCGTCAGGAACTTCAGGGTAAAGGAATCAACAACACCCTTTCTCTTCTCTGCATGAGTCACGACAGTGCATCTGGAGTAATTTCTTTCGACAATAAAATCGACGACATTGATATAACATGGGACAGAGTTGGCTATGAGAGCAACTTCAAGACGATTGACCAAACATTGCAAAAAATAGTGCATGGTCTTGGTGGGACGTATGTGAGGAATCCATTTTGGTCAGAAACATTGGGAAAAAGTGTCGTCTCGGTACATCCATTAGGTGGCTGTCCTATGGGTGACTCTGGCAGAACAGGTGTTGTGAATCATGCCGGGCAAGTGTTTGACGGTACGTCTGTCTCTATCAGTTTTCGGTCATTTCGATACAAAGCCGTTTCGATAAAAACTGGAGTCGATTCGAGTTATGAATGAATTAAAGGGGGTCAGTTTCTAAAGAAACTGTGGTGGAGCGTCGGTAGGAGTAACGAAGTAATTGTGGTTTTATATCAACTAAGTTGATAAAATAAATTGGTCAGTGCGACTGACGAAGAGCTAACGCTCGAAATGTCAGCTTTGAAACTCTTTAACGGTGGCCAAGTTACTTTATCCACTCATTTGTTAAAACCAAAACTAACTTGACTCGATACATCATCGAAAGTCGATACGCTTCACCTAGAAAGTAGTTCGACACAACTTCAGTTATTTCGTTACAAACTAGTGTAGGAGTAATTGGATGTTTGGATGTGTGGAGAATAAAGCAAAATTATGATAATTATTTCGTTACTCCCACCGACGCAGCCCCAAACAGTTTCTTTCGAAACTATCAGCCTTTATTCATATGATAATTATGGTTTTGACGAGGATTGTCGTATTCCTTCCATTATTATACTGTGGGACAAAGATGGATTGTTTGTGTCGCGTATTACATTTATTTTGTTCACGACTTTCACAGAGAAGGTAAATCTATTTCTTTACAGGTAACACGGATGAGTTGTTGGAAGGACTCTATGTCGTCGATGGATCCATAATTCCTCGATCGGTAGGCGTTAATCCTACACTTACCATTTCATGCCTCGCCGAACGCTGTATGCGACTTTTGGTGGAAAAAGAAGAATGGAAAATAGACTACGACTCCTTCAAGCCTCTCGGTGAGATATCTAGTTGCGTTCTAGCCTACTCGTAAAAACATATATATGAGTAACAGAAGAAGTGATTGAGCAGAAGTAGTGAGCATGACCAGCTAGGTGTACCAATAGTTTTAACCCCAACGACAAAAATGTTAGCAGTGAGCATTAACGTTAGTGAATCAAAGCTAAAAACTGTAGAAGTATAGTGCAGCCACGTACTGTTTACGATTAACAGCAACTTTAACGGTTCCGTGGCTGCAGTGCTTTCAAATGTCCATCAAAATATCAGAAAAAAAAATGTTTTAAGGCATAATGGCTAGTTCCTTTTATGGTGAGGTCAATATCTTGCTTTCAGGGCGCTTTGCCTCCGATAAAGGAAAGCCTGGTATTCGTTTTACTGAAAAAATGGTGGGGACGTTTTGGCTCGCACAGAAAAACAAGACGGAAGGGGTACATTGTGAGTTCACCGTGACTGTGCAGAGTAGCGACGTGGAGCACATGCTTAAATATGACCCCGTTCACTCCGCCAAAATGACTGGAACTCTGACCTGCGCACTGCTGTCAAACACGCCCATGACAATCAATGAAGGTATTGCTACACCTCAAGAAAACATTAATAAAATGAAAAGTCTGTTTTGTTGATGAAATAGTAAATAAAAAATAAATGAGAAAACAAACAGAATAAATGGGTAGACAAGTGAATTAATGATTAAAGAAATGACTAACTGCATGAGAAAACGAATCAATGACAGAAAGCGGGATAAATGAATGTGTGGATTAACGAATGAACGAAGGCCACAGGCCGATGTGGCCAATTGAGCCCTTAATTAAAGAGTCCGTCACATTTATTTAGATTTTTTGGTCTGTTTACGAGGTTATCATGCAAAGTTCAAGCAATATACACCAACTCTAAGTATCATTCGTATTCTTGCAGGCCATTTTCAACTTTTGAATCAGAGTACCGAACACATCGACACAAAAGAGCTTTTGTACAAAATGATCCTCACGGGATTTCGAGGCAAAATATTTTCCTTTCATGGGATCAAGTACGTGAAGAGCGACTCATTTGGTGAAACAGGACTTAAGGATACCACCGTTTTGTTCGTGACAGTTTACCAGGGAAAAGCTTTCTCCGGGAAACCAGTAGGATACGGGAAGCTTTTTGTTACATTGCCCAATTTCCTGAGACAGCTGTCCAATATCGAGATTACAAATACCACCAGCAGGTATGAACGGCTGAAGTGGACTGCAAATCTGTACGCCTTCTTTCTTGGAGGTCTTTGGGAAATTTATAGCCCTGTTACGGCAAAGAAACGCCATTTTGATCTTCATGCTCCTCCAAGATTGAAAAGGCCTTTACGACTGAATGGGAAACTGCCGGAGGTTTTCAAGTGCATCACCAAAGATAAAGTAAGGACCAGCTTAACTCCAATTTAATAATGTAACATTCTCTCAAAGCAAGTATTAAACATATTTCGATTCAAGTTTCATTAATTCCACATAAAGTTGCATTTTTTCGCTTTTGTTTTTGATATGTTCTTGTTTGTTTTTCTTTGTTTTTGTTTCCTTCTCAACTGTCGTTCACGAAAATGATACGGAAGTGGACTTTTGGCCTGCACACTTCTTTTTGCAATGACTCCCTGACTGCTTGAGTTTTCAGAAGGTGGGGAGATGCGGTTTCGCAGAAAAGAAGAAGATCGTGCTCAGTCAGATCCACATTATTGTTCTTTATCATTACGTCTCAGATTTTTGTTTTCCTTTGTTTCACCCGTTTAATTTGATTTTTTCTCAGTATGAACTACGCTTGACTCGATTCCAAGGAGGAAAAAAGGGACCAGTGGTTGTGTTCCACGGAGTGGGAATGAACAGCGGAATTTTCCGCCTGGATACAATTGAAACAAATTTCGTGGAATTTCTTGTGGCGCACAGGTACTATGTTTTAGCAAAAGTACTATTTCTATTTTCTACATAGTGACTATTTTGTTGCTTCTCTTTTTTCTCTTTCCTCCTTAAAAGTCAGGCTTATCGGATAATAATTAATACTTAATTGTTTTTACATACCGCAAATCCTCTAACAAGCCCCCCCCTCTAATAAGGCCCCCCTCTCTAAAGGAAGAAATTTATAACCCCCTTCTATTAAGTTCCCCCCATTCCCCCCCCTCAAAAAATAGAAATTCAAAATAACGCTCCATGTCAGTAAGTACGATAAATTCATTCAAATACTGTAATTTAAGTTTGTCATTTAAAATTGATTATGGTGATTGATTGATTGATGTTCAGTCATGTTGGCACCAATAGAATACGGTATAGATAAACTACAGAGCGATGCTAAAGATATAACGTGCCTAAACAAGGTCCATTGAGAGAGATCATAAAAATTGAGTTCTTTATTGAGTTCTAAATTAATAAGCCCCCTCTAGTAAGCCCCCTCTAGTAAGCCCCCTCTAGTAAGCCCCCTCTAGTAAGCTCCCTCTAGTAAGCCCCCTCTAGTAAGCCCCCTCTAGTAAGCTACCCCCTAAAGTACCTGAATGAATAAGCCCCTCCCCCCCCCGGGGGGGCTTATTAGAGGATTTACGGTAGGTGAATAACGAATACGATGTTTTTTCTTTAGGATGAATATGTCAGGCAATCAACTTGAAGTGTATTAAGCCAAAAGACTTAAACACCCTTACTTAATGTCTTACTAGGTATGATGTTTGGCTTGTTGACTGGCGGACGTCCTGTGATCTGGAATGGACAGTTTACGAGGATTACACTTTAGATGACTGCGCTGCATACGATTTCCCAGCCGCTATTGATAAAGTTCTCGAAATCACCAAGCAGGTATTCTGATGAAAAAAACTGATCAGAAACAAACAATCAATAAAATTAAATTAAGAATTAAGAAAACAAACACAAGAAAATAAAAGAATGAAAATAGAAATATGATTTAACTGTTAAGTAAAAAGAATTCAGGAAGTTTTTTCTTAGAAAGAAGACCAGTTTTTGCTTCTAAGTCTTTATGAACCACGTTAACCAGACGCTCGCAGAAAACTGACGGAGAAAAAATTGTGAACAGAAATAGATCGAAGAGCTCTCCAATTTGACATATTTGAAGATTAAAAGCACTTGAAATTCACCTACTTAACTTGTAGCTGACTGATAAAAGCCGCCAAAAGTGTTATCCACTAGTCTGTTACGTGCTAATGTATGTTATTTACAGACAACAGTTCAAGTCGTAGCTCACTGTGGCGGATCGCTGGTGTGTTTTGCCTCCCTCCTGACTGGGGCTCTGGAGGGGAAAATCAGAAGCTTGATCAGTAGTCAGGTGGCTGCAAACCCAATTCCAACCCAAGCCAATAAACTGAAGGCCGGAATTTACATCCCGGGCACAATAGAAGCTCTTGGTGTGGATGGAATCACAGTGGATACTGACGATTTCGTGTCCTTGAGTGAAAGACTCTTTAACAAGTTCACGGAAGGTGTCAACAAAGCATTGCTCCCATACGACGAGTTGTGTGATAATCCTGTGTGTCACAGGTGAGGGAGAGAGATTGATGCTTGGATTCGTTCATGTCCCGACTGAACTGAAAGACAAAAACGTAGCAACAGTAAGACAGAAAGAACTAGAAAAAAGACAATAACAACAGCAACGCCAAAGAACAAAGATAAAATCATCTTAAACAGCAACAACCACTATCTAAATAGCGACTAAATAATTATTTTTTCCTTTTCTAGCCATGTCTTCTTCAATATACCGGCTGTGTTCGTGAAACTGCTTAAATGCAACTTTTTTCGGAATTGGTTTGTTCCAACTAGTTTGATTCTAAAATCAGTAATCACCATCTTTATATTCCGCAGGGCCACGTTTATCTATGGTCTTCAGTGGGAACACGAAAATTTGAATCCCCTCACCCACGACTATTTGCATGAGTTGTTTGGTCATTTGACCACAAAGGTAGCCAAGCAGCTCACCCTAACGATGAGGCAGCAAAAGTTGGTATCTGCGACAGGTGAAGACATCTATTTACCAGATCTGGAAAAAAAAGATCGCGCTCGTTCGAAAACTTACAACCAGCATATGCAGAGGCTCAACATACCCGTATGCTTTATTGTTGGTAAGTTTTTTTCGTTGTGTGTTGGCCAGCTGCTGCTTTTGTTGCTTTTAACGGTAGCTCTAGCCTGAGAAAAGAGAGTGGTGCAGTTTTGATGGGAGCAATCGAGACAAAGTCCTTGCTGTAATGCATTTGTTGTTTTAACTTTAATTCCTACAGGAGAGAAAAACAGTTGTTATCTGCCTGAAAGCACCCACAGAACATTCAACCTTGTTAAAGAGGCCCACCCCGCACAAGAATATACTTGGATCCAGATCCCCGGCTATGGCCATCTGGATTGCATTATTGGCAAGGCTGCAGTCCACGATGTTTACCCTTGCATACTCAAGGCTCTAGATACGCATGCTCAGGATAACACACCTCTTGATGAGATTGCATTTGATGGAGTTAAAAAAGCAGTGTCTTCTTTAAAGTCTAAAGTTTGTAAGTTTTAGATTAGAGTAACTCCTTGAATGCATGGGTTCAAAATAAATTAAAAACCATTACTATTAATACGAAACAAAACACAACAAAGAAGTAGAAAAGGAAAATCAAAAAGGACATAACAGATGAAACCTGGGATAGGCAATAAAAAAAAAGATAAATGTACAAACTAAGAGAAGAATTGGTAATATATGAGTAAAAAGTAACGTTTCATAGTAACATGATATGCCTTTGGGGGCTAAGTGACATTTTATTCTCAGCTATTGGTAAAAATAATAAACCTTTGCTCTTGAAAGCTTACGTAGTAAACTAAGGTGTGAATTGAAATGATCCTTATATTCGTCAAGATGTACTGGAAATGCATTTTGGAGATGAGATCTGTTAGGGAGGTCATCTCTGTAGGAGATTTCTTAAAATTGCAATACACCTATTCAACATTTCACCATCAAGGTCAAACTGACGGGCCAAAGGCTGATCCAATGACAATCCCCACCCTACCAGCAGAAATGGAGGAGTCCTACTTAAATGATGATGCATCGGACGACGAGGAACTCCCCTATCCTGCTGCAGCCAGTGACGTGATGAATCCAGTTGAGGTGAAAAGTATCTGGGACTCGATGGATCAAATAACCCCTTTACAAGCTTGGCAGATGTGGCCTTCCAAGTCGACCAGAAAGAGTCGGGTAAAGAATGAGCCGAGGTAATTATGTATATGGTGACTCACAAATTATTGCCAAAGAGTGGGAAGGAGCAATGCATTTTTATTCCCAACAAACTTTCGTAACAGGAAAATAATAACTTTTTAACAAAAGTAATGATTTTTTCTTTGTCTCGCCTAGCCCAGCCCCAGGTTCTATTTCATCTCCATAATATAATAAAACTTACATTACATCTCATAAACAAAAACCTCTTTTAATCTTGATCTAAATATTCCTTATTTAATTTCAGCTATCATCCACCAAAGGGAACAGACATTGAAAAGGTGGAGGTTCGAGAGATGCAAAACCCAAGCGATCCAGCGAAGAACATAATCGTATCAATGAGTGATCTACATCTTGATAGTTACTGGAGTAAGAACATGCACGAAAGACTCAGCACTTTTCTTAAAAAGTTGGGCAGTGTGGCTGAGGTAATGACAGAATAGAGTATTATCTGTCTGAAAATCTGGCATTTTTAAATTCTGTCTTTGAATCTGTTTCTTCATCTTTTCCATGGTGAAATAGTCTGAATTTTCCAGTTTTATAATTAAAATTACTGTTAATAATAATTACGACGAGAATAGTTGAGAACAAATCATGGACAATTCAAAATCCGGGTTCAAGGCCCATTGATTTGGATATCTTGTGAGCTGAATACCAAAGGCGCATTCTTATCCTCATTCAGGGGAATCTTATAGCACCATCCGCGACCAAAAGTCATTAATTCACGATCTCTTTTTGTGTAAATAACTGAAACACTAAAACAATTAAATTGTAACTGTAGGTTAGGTGCGGGATAAGTAAAGTGCACCATATTGTTGTCGTTGTCTATGTATGCAAATTTACTCTCTATCGCAGGTTTCAATTCATACCTTAATCCTTCTCGGTGACGTTCTTGAGATGTGGCTGGACCCAATAACTCTTACACCGCCAACACTCCAGGAGAAAATCGCAAATTGGAAAAAGAACGAAACTTGCAGCCTTTTCTTCAGCATCGTGCGGAAAATGGCTGAGGAAGATGGCGTCAAGGTTTTCTACGTTAGAGGCAATCATGACCATGAGATTACTGCTGGCGCAGTGGAAGAGCTGATGGGAAACAAGGTTGAATTTATCGAAGGAACGCTCATCTACGTAATCAATAGTGATGATGGGCAGCAATATAGGATACGATTCGCTCACGGTCATGACTGGGACCTTTTTAACACTTATGCCTTAACTGAACCGAATGATCCTCTTGGAGGAAGACCCGTCGGATATTATGTCTCGAGGGCAGTGGCTACTGCAAAAACAGTTATGACTGAGACTGAAGAGGTAAGTATATTTGTAGCACTCGCTATATATTTTCCTTTTGGTGAAGAAGGCGCATATTAATACTTGAATATATATTGTTGGGAAGTTATTGAAGCAGGTTGGAAATGGAAATTATAAGCCAAATATCCTATAGTTATTTTGCATAGTCAATAAGAGAGAGAGACTTTTATTTCAAGAGGGTAGCACGTGACAGTAGTTAAACTGATAATCCTGTGGCCCTCTATTAACTCACCCATCCCACCCCAGGGGAGGACAACCATTACACAGTAATCTCGTGTGTGGGAAATTAACGTCTCCTACCCCAACCCTGCAGGAGACGGGACCTCCATTTATTCGTCCCTATCCGAGAAGACTAGAATATCTAACCATTTCTTGATGTTAAAGAAAAGAAGCATATTCTTCTCAGTTAATTTTAAGACCCTGACTGTTGGTCCGGCCGGGGCTCGAACCCTCGACCTCCCGCACAACAGTCCAGCGCTCTATCCATTGAGCTAACCGGGAGGCGGTTAGCTCAATAAGTGACATCGTACGTAATCGTTACCTACTATTTGATGATAGCATGCCAAGCCAATTCAAGTCACTCGTATTCATGTACGTACACTTTGATATATCCTGTCATTTTCCTCGCTCAGGGGCCAATTTCAGCCTTGTAGGCGATACATTTAGGACTTGTGGGAGAGTAAATTGTACATGTATCAGCAATCATCGTTCTTTTTTTTTTTTTCATTATTACTATTCTATGATAATTACATAAATATCACAAATACAGTATCCAAAGGTATTGTTTCTCGGTTTAAGTTCTGGCTGACTTTCATCTATACAAATTCTTGTTATCACGCTGATCAACAGGTACTCAGAGATGTGACAAAAGCGCTGATGCAAATGGTAGATGGACGATTGGGGTCGGCTGTTGTTCAGATGCTGGCGAAAGGTCCTTTGCAAAAGCGATTCACCGAGACGATGATTGAGCGGGGCGTGGGTCGAGACGTCAACAAGAATGAATGTATTCTTTTACAAGAGGGAAAATGGATAAAGATGGAAAACTTTCTGAAATACCGGTATTTTAAACGAGCAATTGACAAGGTTCGTGCATAGTCCAACTCATGGGGGGATGACTGATGAGGAGTGAAAAAGATCGTCTTATGAATCGAAACCTTAAAGCGGTAAAGCGCCCCAAAGTTATAACTACTCGATTCTGCAAAGCTGCAGCTTTTCAAATTATTATTTGAATAGTTCATTTATACACGAATTTGTTTTCTTTTTCAAGTTAACCACGACAGTCTTATTTAATTATTATTTCTATTTACCAATTTGTTTATATTTTTTTTAAAATAATTTCTCGGGTGTTATAGAGATGCGCGCACACTCATTGGTCGACACTTAGTGAACATTGTTGAATAATCCCTTTGACTCTGTCTCGGGATTATTTAACAATTATTCCACGAGCGCGCGTTGGATATGAGATGATAGATAGCCAACGAGGCGCCGAGTTGGCTATAATCATCTCATATCCAACAAGTGCGAATGGAATAATTGTTTTATTAAAAAAAACGCCCCCAAGATATTAGACAGATCTTCTCGACTTTATTTTGTAAGAAGAAACCGGATGTTACAATGTACAGATATTAGATTATGGTATAGCTCATATACCATAATGGCTAAGCCAATAAAAATTCGTGAATTGCATTATCCAATGATAAAGTTTTTAATAATCAACGATATTCACTGCGCCTTTGACGAATAATTGTTAAATATTTAGTTAGGAGACTAATCATTTTCTTTTTACTCTCATCAGTTTGGCTCTAGTTACACATTCAGCCTCTTGAAGGGAGCTGTTGGAAACTATGACGACTTCTTGAGTCAATGTGGTGAGGATGTCGTTGTTTTTGGACATACCCATATATGGCGAGGCCACAGCATCAAGAGCAGAATCGGGAAATCAATTTACGTCAACACAGGATCATGGATAGACCATGCACATGAGGTGGATATGAAAACAACATCTAAATTTGATAAATAGCGGAGTATCTTGTAACCCACCAATACATGCGCCAAAATTGCGATTGGAATTGCGAAATGGTGAAGGAAGTGAAAACTAGTTTGACAGCCTCACCTATTTAAATTTTAATATCCATCTGTTTCGAGGATCTAGGTCTAGATACAAAAATCCCGAAAAATAGCCTTAAAAATATATCTGGAAATTCTCCACAAATGTCGATAATTCTCATTTTTATCACTAAAAAAATTGAAATTGATACTAAAAATTCGGAGTTATCTAAAAATTTATTTTCAAAAGTGTAAACACCTACAAACTGATTCAGAATGATCATTTATTTCTTATCCAATGTAAGTGGTTCATCAGCCCCGTCTTCTTACATATATATTTCTCTTTCAAACAAACAATAACGACAGTAAACAGTTTGCACTGAGGCCTTACAGTGATGCTTATAAGGCGTGCTTGGAACACAGCCTATGGCCTAAACCACTGACTGGCAGTATTTGTATGGAAGTAGCCCGCTCAAAACCACGTTAATTTGTTTGAATGCCATCGACTGTATAGAGGTATTGCAGAGCAGCCATGTTGGATGGCAGGAACAATAGATTAATTTAGCCATGGGGAAAATTTTCATTCTTATGCAAAATATTTTCATTGTTCCTGCCATCCAACATTGCTGCAGTGCAAAACCTCTATTTCTTTTAAAAACTATCGTCTAAAAATCCTTGAATGTTGCAAAGATCCTCAAAATTTCTAAAAATTCTGTTTACCTCTAAAAATACCTAAAAATCCTGATTTTTTTGACTAGCCCTAAAGGCACCTCACTTAAGGTTTTTTTTTTTTGCTTTCTTGTCGCTACACAAATGGCATCTATACCAGTTGAGGAAGAGCCTCCCGTCAAAGTGATACGCATGTACTCATATATATATACTTGTTCTAATACCTCTTAATCCTTCTCTTAATTACTTCTTTCTTTTCAGTTTTCATACGCAAGAATAACACCTCCACGAAAATCTGTCCCTGGATGCGTTCAAGTCAGAAGAGATTTGCTGGACCCTGACGGCATCGTGTAGTTATTAGGGAACTTAAGCAGTCACGAGGGCAACGCCACGGAAGACGTAGATTAAAAAAAATGAGTTTCTACTTTTAGTTAGAATTTCAAAAATGGCTGCATGTGTTTACCGTCTCATGGGGCGCCAGATCTCGAACTCAACATAACGCATAAAAGTAGCGTTAAGTTCCAAATGTAAATTAAAATAATTTGCCGCCGCGGTTTCGGTTCGCAGACGACGCAAATTTTGGTGATTTCACGTTGTTGTTTTGCAAAGGACGGGTAAGAAATGTACAAAGTTTTAAAACGCACGTGCTGGGCTATTGTTCTGCCAATTAGATCTATTGTTTTTCCACGTTCGCGTTGCCGTCGCCGTCGTGGTTTGCTTAAATTCCCTACTAACTTATGATCAGGTCATGATGGCAGGATTATGGACATAAATGAAATTGCGCTTTGGAAAATTATTGCTTTTTGATGCAGAGCAGTGGAAGTGGGCCGTGTTTCCTTCAGCAATGCAGCTTAGCATTTAGAAAAAAATATAAGTAATAGTTACTGTAGTAGTTATGTTTTAGGAATAAGACGGCTATTGATAAGTGATATACCGTTCGATTTTTCTCAAGCTGAGGGGGTTGGGATATTTTCATTTTTCTATTTTTTCTTAGGTACAGATAAACCTGAACAGTCACACATACTCTATCTGTTGTAGGCCTTGTATAAGTTTGATCCCCTTTTTGTTCGGAATCCTTCCTTTAATCCTTTTAAGACCTTGATGTGACCACTTCATCAGTTAGGATAAACCTATCTAAAACATGAGGTTCTGGACTCTAGGTCAAGTTATACCTCAGTCATAAGATTTGTGGGTTAGTCTCAAAAGTAAATTTTATCTACAGGATTAAAGTAAGAGAGAGAAGACAAAAAATGAGCATCGTGGTTTTTAAGTACATTATGGTTATTTCTAAAATTTCATGTTAAAAAGAAGGAAACCGGAGAGTTCGCGAAAAGAATATGCTAAAGGGTGAGCCTGTATATAGGTGACAGTTATGTATTAACTAATAGCATTGAAGCAAGCTGGTGAACAGTCCGTGACGCTGTAAATAAGGGACGATTTTATTGGTATAACGGTTAGTATTTTACTTGCATGGAATTACTTTGACTCGTTATTAATTTCTCGTATCTTAGGAAGGCCGTAATTTGCAAAAAATTAGAAAAGGAGCGTGGGTGTTTGGATAGCTATGGAGTTTGCTTGCGCCCTCTCGCTTCAGTTATTTTGAATTCTAACTGGCACACAAAGGAAGCTTGGAAACATTTAAATATATAGAAGAGGCATGACACAAATAGAAAACGATCAGCGTTGAAAGACACGCATCTGTTAATTTTTTTCCAAACTACTGTAACAATGGAAATAATGATGATAAATAGACGTTACTCGGTGCTCGTTCACTGACGAGCTTCATTTATACAGCGGCAGAATTTTCAAATACAAAGTAACGAAAGTTTGCGGTCGCAAATATCGATTACTGCCGATCCTGCACGGCATTTATGAATTTGCATGTATTGACAGCCACTTAAAATAAGCTTTTGAAACGAAGTTATTGCTTTTGGATACTTACTTCTTAATTTCAAATTGTTCTGTCTCATGTTTGGCTTATTTATCTCTGCTGAAGTGGTTCTTTGAGCGTTCTAAACGAGCTGACAGGGACGGGAAAAACATTCTTTGGTTTCTATGGTTTTCATGTATTGTTCTACCGCCCGAATGGTTATAGCACCCCACGCTTTATCATTGATTTAGAAAAACAACAAGGCAAACATCACACAAACCAACTCAACTTAAGTACACCAAACAACAAAGTCTGTATTACTCATACACTCTTAGCTAAACACTCCTAGGCTACCGTATTTGAAACGGCTGTTTGGTGCCGTTGGTGCTTACACGTGTAGATCAGAAATATTTATTGTTAAATTTATATAACTTTGAATGACACAATTATCAAGTGGTCGGAATATTTAGCTTAAGCAGCCATGGGAAGTACATGTTCGAGGGGGCAACGTCAGGTAGGTAAATTAACCGTTATTTTCGATAACCTCGAGGAAAACGAATCGCGTCCATTAACTGAATGAAAAACAAAGGAAAAATAGATAATAGGGTAAATAGTCTTTTGCAATGGAAACCGTGCAATCTACATAACATTCTTTTCAATCCCCCACGGTCCACGTAAAAATAAAGTCCTCTGCGCTCGGCCTGTTAAATATTCTTGGAGCATGCACGGCCTGTTGCTTAGAAACAAATTAGTTCCCGGTAGTACTCGGCTGATTGTGGGCTCACACTTGGTCTTGCTAGATAGCTAAATAGGATGCGTGCGCATAAAATCGTGTTAAAAACTGGTTCTGACCGGTTTTGCAAGTCAGATTATCCACAAACTTGGATAATTGCCAGGCGCATGCTCGAAGAAGATTTAACAGGCCGAGCGCAGAGGACTTTATTTTTACGTGGACCGTTGGGGAAGTTAACAAAAAAACGCCTCTGCCAGCAGGCTACATCGAATGAGTCCATCGCAGGTTATTTTGGAAAATTTTGAATATCCAGAACTCGGATTATTGAAAGTTCAATGAATATACCACTGAAAGGGTATTTGGCTTTGCAAAGAGAAAAGTCATAATCCAACAACAAGAGTCTTCTAAAAAAAGATTGGCCTTGATATCGATAGCGTCTTTGCGTTTCCAAAAGCTGGGACCTGTTGTCCAGTTAGTCTGGAAAACTGATCCGAAAGAGTTTTTAGGTCTTATCGACATAACGTATTCTCTGGACCGTAATTATAAAAGTGTAACCAGAGTATAATGGAACGTCAAGTGTCAGACAACAACAACATCAACTACAGCACCTGTAGCAGGAGCAGCAACAGCGGCGAGCGAGACTTTTCCGAACATTTAGCGTTCTGATTTTACGCTTTTTGTGGAATTTTTGTCTTTCTATCATAGCTGCATGTACCTCGAGCTATACAGTGCATCAAATTATACACCGCAATTGATCGAGCTACTCATGTGAGCCTTGTCAATCTCAAGAATTTTCTAGAAGCAGCTGCTTTACACACGTGTCATTAATTTAGCGTATTATAAAGTAGAATCAGAACGCCGAAAGATTTATTTTATGCAAGTATCCCCTTGCAATTTTTCCTTTCTTGTTTTCGGTTGTCTCCAGTTCAATTCTTAGGCTGTGCTTTAATTTGTTTAAAGCCAAGTAGTCTGCCACCGGTCAGTTAGCAGTTTTAAACACTATTTTTACGCACAATGTTATTTTCAATTTGTTTGTATTAGCCCTGAAAAGCCTCATTAGGGGAGTGGTCATTTAAGATTATCATTATAACACAAATAATCTATCCTTTTTTACCACTTTTTCCACCCGTTTACTATCCCACCTATGTAGGTGGAAAATAAGCCGACATTTCCCAAACTCTCCTCTCCCCACTCCTTGATCAAGTAACGGTATGATGTAGTGGTGTTAGGTTCCAGTTATGGAGGTTCCATCGCTGCAAGCCGCTGCGCACGAGCAGGGCAGTTGGTATGCGTACTGGAACGAGGCAAGGAGTGGTTACCTGGTGACTTCCCCGAGAGATCGAGAGACTCGACGCAGCTTGCGCAGATAAATGTTGGGGGCAAGGGAAGAAGAATTGGTATGCATTACAATCAATGGTACACATAAATGCCATGTTTTAAAATCAAAATGTAACGGGTAAGAAAGCAGTTTGAATGCCACGAACGGTGGCGATCGCAAATACTCATATAATTAGTTCAGCGCCTCTAGCGATAATACGGAAACCAGTAGAGGGAAATACAGGATAGTCTGGTGGTAACACAATCGTCTTGATTTGATCGCTCTCATAGTTGAACCTCATAGATATCAGCGACACAAAGGGATCATCCTAGTTTTACTAAACACGTGAAAATTTGGAACATGAAGAAACTGTTTTACGACCAACGGTTAAAATTTGTCAATTTTTACGCCTTGCAGCAAAATTTGTGGCTCAGTGTTTTACGACTAACTGTTAACCTCAAAGAGGCCCTCCTATATGACTGTTATTCTAGCTAAGTCGCTCGCATGTGTTGAAGTTTTAAATCTGTGACTCTCACATCATCATTCGCAATAAATGCCTCGCCTCAAATGTATATGCGTTTTTGACTAAGCGTGAGGTCAAGATGGCTGGGTATTGGACCCGTTACTTTTTTTGTGTTTTCATACACCGAGACGAACTCGGGCTTCATAAAAACGGAAAATAAAAGAACGAGGCTAATATCCAGCCATCTGACCGAGCAAGCTCGGTCTGATTTAATGTATGGTAAAAAGATTTTGTTTTATCAAGAATCGGGAAATATTTATCGGGAAAGAAACCCATCTATTTAGCACAATAAAACCTCGCGAGTCGTTTATGTTTTCTTTATTTTGACCGCCTTCCACCGCTTTTAGCGACTCCATCGTAGACACTGTCCAAAATTTACGAACTTTTGAGCAAGTTCGCAATTTTCTTTTTTGCGCAGGACGAAAGCGTGCGAAATCCCAAGCAGGCCAGGTGGACCCATTTTGCATGCTCGGGTAGCCAATCAGAACACAAGATTCGCCTTATAATGCCCATGGGCGCTGCCTGCCAGCGATATGATAACAAACGGTCATGCCTTGGTTCGGCCTTCCGATTGAAAGAGTTAAGTCGTGGTCTAAGCAAAGAAAAAAGAGAAAATATAAAAAAGACTAAAGGAAAGTGCAACATGGAGGTGCTAAGAGCTTCGATCCTCTACTCTTAACGCCTACTTAAGTAAGGTGATAGCCTCACAAAACTATTATGTCATACCCTGAGTAGGATCATATCAGTCGAGGAGTACACAGGTAAATCCCGTATATTAAAGAAATAGTAGGACAAGCTTTAACATTTTACGACTATAAAAAAGTAGTAGCTAAATCCGTTGGAGAAAAGGCATCAACTTTAACGCATCCTTTGTCCAGAATTTCTTATTTACAATAAGAATTGCACATGGAAGAATACATATGAAAGGTAAGTAATATGAGGAACTTCCCCAGCTTACTCTCCACTATTTGTTGTTTAACGCTATTTGTCTTGAAATATACTCCAAATAGTTATGCGTCCAAGATAACGTGTGTTTCAATTTGGAGTTACTAATTATAAATGCAGCCAAAACTTTTAAAATGACAGCTATTTACTTATCATATCTATTCAAGTCCTAAAATGCTTCTCTTCGAGTAATCGCCATTAGAATGGTGAAAAGTTTCCTGTTGGTGAATTTCTCTACTTCATTGAAACGGTGTAGTTACGGTTTGATAACAGTAGTGATTGTTTTTGTTTGTTTTTGACGTTTCAGTGATTCCCTTGAAATCTAATTGCCACAACTAATTTGCACTCTTTATCGTATATACAACGTAATTATGTAATTCCCGTTCAATTATCTTCGGCAAAAATATTGTTAAACTAATAAATGCCTTTATTGAACGAAGGGGATATAGGTGCAAACCACTTTATTGAAACCTTTCGCTTAGAAAATAGCAATGGTAAACAAAGTAAA